ATGAATAAACATGGAAACACATCCATGGATAATCCACAAGTCTGTTTTAATGAAAGCTGATTGATTTTTCTCTTATTTAATTTTTAATTTCATATTAAATTTAACATAATAGTTTATATGTTATGAATGAAATACATTTTGAGAGTGAAATTAATTAATTAATAAGCTTTAGATAAGTGTTGAATGAAACTTATAAAACATTAATAATTATAGCATAAAACAGCCCATTTAATTAAGATTTGGTTTATTATTTATTCATCGGGCTTTGGGATGTTTATATATGAATAAAACTTTTGACATAAACAGATAATAATGCCATTAGTTTTGCAATATTAGTGATTTATTGCTAAGGAAATGATTCAAAATATTTTATTTGATAATTTTACAACTTATTTAATAAAAAAAGAAAATACAGTATACACATAAGCAAGGGCCATATTATTCAAAAATCAATTGCATTTAATGCACTTGTTAGGCCATTTAATTTGTGCCTTGCAGAACACAGTTCTGCAAGTAGTACTAATGCTCAAAATACCATTTTAAATAACAACAATAATAATACCAGATTTTTAAAAAATTTGATGCTAATATTTATATTCCTGATGTAAATTTTTATCAACATATAAACATTCAAGAATAATCTGCAAGAGTATACTATAATAATAAAAATGAAAAACTGTCTCCACTGATTATAAGCAAAATGCAAACTTTGAGATGTTCATTAATTGTCTTGAAAATGTGAAGCAAATGAAATGCTTGAATGACAGAAAAAATATTTTGTTACTGGACAAAGATACTACAACAAAAAATAGTAGCTTAAAATAAGAATAGTGTTTATTTCCATATCAGCAGATTAAATTTGTCAAACATTTAGTGAGCTCTTCAAACAGAATAAATGTCTTAGAATCTTTGTATCAAGATATATTTGCATATTTCAAAAGAAGATACAGAAAATAATTAGTATGTTTCTTGGTAAGAAAGATTTCACATATGTATCCTTGAAGAATGTAAAGAAATGAACTCTCTTTGATGTGATGCCCAACTTTGTGATGACATGGAATGATATTCCTTCTATTATAATATGCAATTGTTTTAGTATACAATGACACTTCACACCAACGAAGTTATTATATGATTATAACACTTACGTGTTGTGGCGTTACAGGGGTGGAGTCTTGGAGAATGAACTCGTTCGACTTTAGAAAATGAACTCGTGGTTTTTCGTTCCATGCGCTATGATGCATAAAACGACTTTTAAATAACATTCGAAAATGAAAAAATCAGTTAATTCGACGGAAATATTGTTTGATAATTTCGAAAATCCAAAATTTGTGAAACTGTCGGATAAGTGTTCGAAAATCTTTTGTATTCGATAGACCGCCTGAAGACGGTAGTTATATACTACTGAAAGTGCTAGCAGACGAGTTCATTTTCTAAAGTCGGATGAGTTCATTCTCCAAGACTCCACCCCTGTAACACTACAACACGTAAGTGTTATAATCATATAATGCAATTGTTTTTTAATTAAAGACTGGTTTTGTTTGCCAGAATTGGAGTAGTGATGATGAGAATCAATACAGATAGCCACAACTTCTGAAAAGTGAAGACTGGGTTTCTTCAGCAAAATAAGTATGTAGAACTAGACTTTGCTGAGTATATGGTTACCAATTACATTGCTGAATTTCAATTCAATTGCTGAATTACATCATTACTAAGAAAGTCCAGAAAATTCATCTATTCCAGATGAAGTATCACAATCATCATCAAGTAGTGAAAACAAAACATAATTTGGAATTAGCTCATTAACATTAGAATTGATGCTGGAAAAATATTCAAATAGTATTACTGATTATGTTTGCAGAACATTTAAGAAACTATGTGATTTTATATAATCAGTGCATTGAGAGATTACTCTTGGTCAGTACTAACTGTGCCTATTTTAGGGAAGATAGAGTGGCAGGATGGGATAAAACTCTGTATTAAAACTTTTTTCTACTAGTTTTTTAAACCTCTTTTTAGAGATCCATTTCCCTGAGGCAGGGGAATGATAGGGGGTCTAACAGTGAAGAATTAGTTAGGGCAGGTTAGGGGATCATGGGCTTTGGGTCTGTATACCAGACCTTTATGAAGCTTACTGTCTGATGGCTGCAGCTCTTGATGGGGTTTTGAACATTAAGCTGGAACCTATCCCTGTTTGGATAGATAGCAATACAGCTGCATTTTGACATTGTTGCATGTAGACTCATATCAAAAACAGAGGGGAGACTGTTATGCTAAAGCATAGAAGTATTTTTTGTTAATGCCATTATTATGAGGACCTGTAATGTGTCACCGAAGTGTTTTACAACTTAGATCGCAATTTCTGTAACTGCTACAAACAGGATTCCCCATGGAGGCCTCATCTTCAGGCAGGATAAGTGGAGTGTTGTTGTTTGGGCTTGTCTGTTGCAAGTTCGTAACCCCACTGATGAGGAGTGAAAGCACTAGCAGGTGCTCCTTATGTGACCTCACTTGGCAGGAGTACTACTGAAACATGGTAGTGATTACTGTTGCTTTTGCAGCCCAACCAGAGTCCCCCTGCCCTTGATCAAGCACTACGCTAATTGGCAACAAGATGACCTCCCCCCACTTGCTGTACTCACAGTTGAAGTTTCCAGTGTCTTTTCCTGCTTAGGAATAGTGGAATGCTAAAACTCCTGGATTCAAACATTGCATTGATATAACTAGCAGCCATGGTTGGGAACAACCTTACCCCTAGAATTCGAGACATATTTTTGCAAACTTCCTCATTCTTCTCAGTGGCACAAGGATAATGGTTGAATGTATTATGGGCAGACAAATGCAATTGATTTTGCCCAAGCCCATGGCAATGCAAGCCATATACAAATCCATTCAGTAAAGGAGAAATAATTTTCCAGGAGGAAAATCAGACTTTGCACACCTGGGGTTGCAGCCTGCATGCCTAAGTCTGTGGGACAAGGAGTCATACTCGTATTGCCTTGCTGGTGGCCAGAGGGATACCACCTATAGTTAGGGTTGCCATAGTTGCCTAGCATTGATATGGGACATTTATTTAAGTGCTAAATAAATAAAACATGAAAAAAGTGGGTAGGTAATGCTTTATTTTACTCTGATAAAAAATCGATAAAATTTAAGCAATCTAATAAAATGAATATGTAGAATAATAAAAAAGATGCAAGGCTGATCCTTTTTAACCCAGTCATATTTTAAAGTTGATTTTACTTTCTTAATTATATAATTTTCTTCTTTCACATAATTATAAAATTAGATGCAAGTTATTTTAAAATTACAATAACAAATCAAAATTGCTTCAATTGTCTCCACTGACAACCTGTTGTTTTTTTATCCGACCATTGAGTTGACATTAGGAAAAATATTCTCTTTACATTTGCATTGTGTGCTGAAATGGCAAATACATATTTGCATAGCTTTATTAGACATGACTTCTGATCAATGCTTTGTGTCTGCAAAAAACTTTAGCCATTTCTCTTCCATGTTCAATTTCATAGTTGCTTTGCAGTTTTGGTTGGTATTATTTTTCTCTAAATAGTCTTTTAGATATACAGACTGATTGAATAGAATCTCAGTGTTGCCAATATCAATGTTTTATGTAAATATGCAACAGTACGTTCTATTTCTTCCCATTCAGGAACTTGGTTGAGAAAATGGGACAAATAGTAATACAGGACTGAAAAGTGAAATATGGTGACCGTCCTCTATATATGGGACATATAGCAACCCTACCTATAGTGGCTTACAGGATCCTGCTTACAACAGTAAGCAGGATCCTGTAAGAGCATCTCTCTGGGATAGGACTAATGCCTTTGTCTTGAGGGCAGGGAGGTGCTTAAAGGCCTATCATGCACTGGATAGACCATACCCACCTGAGAGAACCAGAAGCGGGAAGAACTATTTTAGTAGTGACAAGGAGGCTGCCTACATTGATCAACCAGGATAACCTCGGGTATGAGACCATTTAAATAGGTAGTTGTCCTGTCAGTGAGACAAACAAGACATGAGGAGGCTCTTAAATGCTTATTCTAATTCTTGAAAGGATGTTGGGCACCCTTGGAATGTTGGGAGTGGTCTCTTATTTTATTTTACTCTTATGATGACTCTGATAAAAGTGAGTTAGTGTATGCAACTCAAAGCTTGGACAAGTGCAAAGATAATATTCTCAAGATGTTGCATAAGGGAAATACCAAGACACTGTCAACTCTCAAAAAGAAAGTGGTGCCTTGTGCACTACAAAAAGCAGCATTCTCACAAGAAGCAAAATGTCAGCAAGGAGGTTGCTGTCAAGATAGAGATGAAGTCTGTTCTTGTAGAAAGGGCTGGAGATATAACAGCCTCCAACTCCACTCCTGAAGAGATTGATGACATCACTACTTCCTCTCCTGTTTCAGTAGCAGTTTGCCTAACTGCCACTGAAACAGTTTCACAATCATCCCAAGGCTAAGAAATGATGACTGTGAAACTGTTACACTTGTAAGACATCACCTGTGATAATTATGAATTTGTCGTATTTACAATAGCCTTTTTATGTATTTTTATAATTTATATTTATTTATGAACACCAACTAATGTGGATGTATTGAGTCCGAAATGCATTTTGAGTGTTTTATATTATGTAAATGTTAAAAGAGTCATAATTTATTAGAGTTTTATTTATAAGGTGTTAAATAATCATTAAAAATTTTGTGAATTAACTTCATACACTGGTGTGATAAGCCCATATGTATATGTGTCTATTTGATCTAGATTAAGTGTTAAACAATAGATTATTCCAATTAATTTTTACTATTTTACTGGCAGGCTTTGTCTGACCATCACAGGCCCATGCTTTGACTTTTGTTAACATTATTTGCACAGTCTTTGATGGTACACTTTTAGCAATTTTCTGCTTGTATTTTGCTGATTTATTTTCATTAGTTTGAAAATACCATAATTTTAAAAATCTTATAATTTTATCCCTTAAGGAACTTAAGGATTATATTGTGGTAAATGAAGGTTCAAAGTTAGGAATTAAATGGCATGCAGATTTTATTAATGGTTGTGTGAAGTGGTTATCAAATATTTTTGCAAATAACTCCTTCGAAAAAACAATACAGGAACTATCAGATAAAATTGACAAATTAACTGATATTGAGACAACAAAATCTCTTTTAGATTCCCAAGAGAAGGTCTTAAATAAACTTGCTGCTCTTGAAACAAATACACCAATATTTGCAGTCAACATACAATCTTAGTTCCATATTAAGATCCAGCAGAATAAATAAATAACAACAAAATCCAAAACCATATCCTCTTTTCATAGCGTCTTATTGATCTATGGAAAGGAGGAAAGTTGAAACAGCAATGACATCCGCAAACTTATTCAAAGCAAAATTAGATCATCTAATCTTCATATTGGTATGGAGTGAATATGTAGAATTGGTGGGAGGCCTGGCTGTTGAGCTGGATGGAAGGGATGATGTCTCTATTTTGGAAAAAAGCATTCAAGAACACATTTCAGAGATAACAACAAAAAAGCTGAAAAAGAAACTACAATATATAATTGTTTACTCTGTCTTCACAGAAATCCTTTGTAAAAATGTTCCTAGGCATATTTATCAACAGAATAGTTTTATGCACAACAATTACTTGAAGGAGAATGTGTTGATGAATTTAAAATAAGTTCAGTGCTAACAAAAGGGATAGTTCATACAAAAATTGGGTGGTGGAGATATCACTTCGATTAAGGAAAATTATCTTGTCAGATGCAAGCTCAATTTTGAGTGGTCACAATGTAAACAGCAGACTTTTGTCCGATTTTGCAGTGATACAGATTCGTACATGTTCTAAAAATTGTCCACAGACTATCACCACATGCAGTCACTGCATGGGGGAGCATTCTTTTCAAAAATGCACTGCTTTGGATTGTAGAAAAAAGAAAAATATTCAACACACACATAATGCAAATGACGACTCTTGCAATCTTTTTCTGAAAAATAAAAACGATATCATTGCATGAACGGATTATGGACTTACAGAAACCAAATAAAATTCTTTTTGTCAAATCAGTTTGGGTTGAGGCATTTCTGCTAGTTGATAATATTTGATAATAAATTAATATTTGATAAAAAATTGCCAGGACAAATAATTGTAAAAATTAACAAATATTAGAGTATACAATGAAGTCTTTGTCCTTGTTCATACCTCAGAAAAGTAACAGTCTCATGACAAGAGTTCACCTTTTACTGGAGGCTACTTCGTACCATAATATGTATATTATTACCTTTATTTTCATTATATATTTATTGTTTTCTTTACAGAATGGATTCTGAATTGCTGACTCAGGCACTTAATTATCATGGTCAAGAATTCAGGCGTGTCCTTGATTCTGAGAAAGGACTTGATTTTTTAAAAGATATTGATATGAGAATTGTAAACTATTTTGAATATCATAGAAGAGCCAAAGAATTTGGGTAAGCTGTTCAATTTATAAATTACTTAGCTTTAATTACTAATAAAAAATTATCAATAAAATGAATTAACTTAGATATCCTTGTTTAATTCTCACAAAAGAGAATATTTTTATTAGATTTTAAAAAAATTCTTTTGTTGATATTTAAAGTTTGAGTCAGTAACTCTTCAATTACAAAAAGAATTTATTGATTTCTTTATTAATAATGTCAACTGTAACTTTTAAAGATACTATATGCTAAGCCAGTGTTTAACTTTTTTAAGCTCAAGGACCAGTAAAATATCTGAAAAATTCTACAGACTAAAAAGGAGATGGCTAGATGTTTGGGTTTCTGATTCAAATGCAAACAATTCCTTGTACAAATATTAGGACCTACTTTTCAAGCATTTCTGAAAAATGGGCCTTTAAAAATTGAATGTTTAGCTTATAACTCTGGAAATTTCATTTTTCCATATAATTTTGATAGTCAGTTGTACAAGATGCTAAGAACAGGAACTACACAATGGAAGTTCAAGCCACTGCAATTTTAGTTTTTTTTTTTAATGTGTAACAAAATTATTTTACCATATCATTAGCATTATCATTATTACTGTTGTTATTCCTCAAGTTAAAGCTTATAAAACAAGAGATAAAAAATTGTGACATCATTTCCTGTTTAGTGAAAATTAAGTCTCAAGATTTAACTCTTGTATGTCATTAAATAAAATTTTTATTTCTTCATTTTAATTTTCCACTATGGTGGTATAGTTATATTTGAAGTGTAACAAACATGAGTGCTTGAAGTAATTATTTATAACATTAACAATTTAAAAAAAAAACACTGTGACCAGTTACCTTATCTTCATTTCAGAATTGTCTTTTTTGTCCATCTGACATAACGTGTGAAGCTTATTTGCTTGTGTTGACATAGTATTTAACCACGAGCAAAAATATGTGAAATAAAAATTTAATTTAACAGCATACAAGAGTTAAATCTACAGAGATTTCTTTTTTGCTAAGCAGGAAGTGATGTCACAATTTTTAACCTCTTGTTTTATAAGCTTTAAACATGAGGAATAACAATAGTAATAATAATAATAATAATAATGCTAATGACAGAATAACAATAAAATAATTTTGTTACACATTTAAAAAAATAATAATAATTGCAACAGCTCAAACTTACATCATGTAGTTCCTGTGCCTAGCATCTTATCCAATTGGCTATTGAAATTACATGGAAAAATGAAACTTCCAGACACTTACAAGCTAAACACACAATTTTTCAGAGGCCCATTTTTCAGAAATGCTTGAGAAGCGGGTCCAAATATTTGCGTGGGAAGCTGTCGTGTTTAGGGCTAAATGTTTGCCAAATTCTGTTTGAATTGGAGACCTAAATGTCTGGCTGTCTCCTTGTAAGTTATTTAGGCCAATTTTTTTTAAACCTTTGTGGATATTATTAATATTTGGAATATACTGTGCCATTTATAATATAATAAATCTAAAAGCATGTTTTGAGACATATAGAAACAAAAATAATTACATGAAGTAAACTATTTAAAGAGGACTATTATTGAACAAAGTTTTAATCTTTATTAATTTAAATTAAGTGCCTGCGGACCACCTGTCCCATTATAGCGAACCACAGGTTGAGAAATGATGTACTAAGCAATGTATAATAATATATAATATTCAAGAAAAATATAAATACAGATGCAAATACTTCAATACTTGAATAAATTACATTTTGACTACTTGTTCATAAGTTGATTTAGTTACAAATTGAAAATACTTTAATCCTGAAAAATGATGTCTTACAGAATGAATGCTACCATTTTAAATTACTGTAGTTATGTTAATACGTTAGTTCACAAATTCTTTTTTAATTGAAATTCAGTAGTAGTTCATAAACAAGTGTTATACAACTTTCAGTTGTTCTACTTGGATAGCTCAAAAGTACTTGAAAGCTATGTAACACCTGTTCATATACTCCATTTAAGCATATTTTATTGTAGTAAAATCAGTTATGTTTTATTAACATGTGTTTTAACTGTTTAAACACAACATTGGTCAAAATTGTCTTAATTTGTTTAAGACAAAAATTGACTGAAGAAAAATTGCTTGACTGGTTTTGCTATACAAATTCCCCTTGTAGCCTGAGTGGTAAAAACAATTTTGTCTTCAGTTATGTAGAACAGTGTTTTTCAACCTGTGGGTTGTGACCCCCAGGGAGTTGCAAAGCCTTACACGGGGGGGGTCACGGGTGAAAGAAAAAGACAAGTGTTTGTAGATCCTAGACTACAATAAAAAAAACTAGAATTTCAGTGAGAAGGCTATGCCTGTTTATTTTACAGTACAATTGGTTTTTCAATCGATATTTAAAGAAAGAAAATTAAATATGTAGTTTTTAAAATCACTGATATAGTTTAAATATGGTCCTGGGAGTTGCCAGAATTTTTTAAGTTGTAAAGGCGTCGCATATTCAAGAAGGTTGAAAAACACTGATGTAGAACAAAGAATTTTAGAGCTTAGAGTTAAAATATATACTATTGTTTGTTACAAAAATACACTACCTATTACTTTAAATAACAATGCAACTATTTCTGTATATTATTAAAATTCTGTTTATTCTAGAAAAAAAATTAAAAACTTTTTTAGTTGATTACTCTGTTGGATTATTATCTGATTTGTTAAATAGGATTGCTTTCATTGAAAAGAAAGATTATTTTAAAAAATTAGTATATTTGTTATACGTTTGCAACAAATATAACATTTTAAATTTATTATCTGAGTAAAGCAGTTATCAGATATGATTGAGTCTTTTTTTGTGTTTTCCTGAAAATTCATTGTCAATAAGTGTTTTGGAATAATTTAATAATAGTAATTATGAATTTTTTAAATTTTACAATCTTGTTGACCTGAAGCAGATCTTGTGTAAGATCAAAAACATTTGTCAAATTTTACATTAAAATTATTTACTGCATCATAAAGGTTTTGTTTGATGTATTTTTTAAATATATTTTTAAATTCAAATTCTAAATTCATGTCATTTAAATACTATTAAGTTTTATTTAAATGTTAATTTATTCTAGGAAGGTAATCTGAAGGTGATTTTATAATTTCACTAATTCTATTAATTTGTACGTTTAGCTATTTATGACAATACCAAAGAATATGAACATTGAACATTTTAATCTTTTCTGGAAATGTGTTTTTTTTATATAAAGTCAGTTTTAACTTTGTAATATGCCACAAACATTTGGTAATATGCTGAATGAGACTTGCAAAACTGATATTAAAGACTAACAAGTTATTATCAAGTTTAACATATTCAGCATTATTTGATGATATTAGTGTAATAAAGAATTTGTATTAAAACTTTTTTTTTAAATTATTTAATAAATAACCACTGGCCATGTTCTTTTGCTATTTTTAAAATTAACTAAAGCAAATATTTTATTCTATTGGAAAAGAAATGTGATAAATTAATTTTTTTTAAAATGTGTTTCAGTTTTCAAGAAAGAAAAAGAAGACAGAAATTATATGAGTTTCTGGGAAAGAAAGCACATATTTTGTATAAAAGTTTAGATGATGCATGTGTCTTACCGAAATGTGATGATGAAAGCAATGGTTAGTGAATTTTATTTATTTATTTATTAGTACAAAGTAATAATACCCATATGTAGAGGCATACATAATTGGAACAATAACAAAACAATGAAGATTGCAAAAAGACAAACACCAAAAAATTTTTCAAATCAACAAAATATATTGTTGCTTGCTTTGTTTAAATTTAATAAATATTATTTATTAAATTAAAACAGAGCAGGTAACAAATGTCTGGTGACCAGATTTAAAAAAAGTGATAACTTTTTTTTTTATTAATAATACAAAAAAAAACTCTTACCTGAAAAAGCAAAATCCAAAAAATAAATTATTAAAATTTTAAATTCAAATAAAGTTCATCAAAATTTGTTTTCAAGAATAAACATTTAAGCAACAGATTTGATGACAAAAAAACAGCACCATACTACAGCTGAAACAAAAGGAAATTAATTACAGTTTTACAAAAACACTTTAAATTTGAATATAACTTTAGAATCACATAACGATGTACAAAAATTTTGAGATGACAAAAAGTTTTACAAAAAATAATTTTCCCTTAATTTAATTAAAGCTTTGCAAGAGGTAAAAATGTGAGATGTATCAAATTGTAAACTTTTTTTTACAGAAGTCACAAAATGCCTGGTCTCTTATTCTTTATGGCTTTCTGCAGCTTGTCCAATTCATTAAAACAAGAAGACATTATTTTAAAAAAATTACAATGTATGTGTAGTTTAGTTTTAATTAAAACAAAAAATTTTTCTATATTAAGGTAATTCAAAGAGCACCATTCAAAAAACATTTATCTACCAATTATTATACTTGTGATTAAAATAATTCTCTTTTTTTCTCCTTAAAACTAATTAAATAACTTTCACCCATCTTTACCAATACCTACAGATTCATTCCTACCTACAGATTAATTCAGTACCTACAGATTCATTTGATTCTAATAACTGGTCCTAAAAACAAAATTCTTCTTACATCTTGAATTTGGTTCCCATCTTCTGATAAAATACAAGGAATGATCAAATTGAACATGTTTGAGTTAATTTATTAAGACAAATGAAACAGCATATCCATCAATATGGTATAATTAAACAAAGCAATATATGAGGAAGCCAGAATGCACTTTTGTTGATTAAAAAAGTCACCATGGGCATACAGACACACATTCCACTGCTTGGGGAGACAATGGATACTATCTGCGAGGAACAATTGTTGATTGGTCCTTGAACCATTGGATGACTGCTTCCTTGACTTTTGCATCACAGTTAAAGCATTGTTCCTTAAGAGCTTTTTTAAAGAATTCAATAAATGAAAGGCACATGGTGACAGATAGGGTCTCTAGGAAGGGTGGTGCAGAACCTCCCAACCTTTTTGTGCTAAAACTTCCTGCAGAGTTAAATCAAATTTTGACCATACAAATAATTTTGGGTCAGTACAAAATAATCCTTCTTTTTTTTTAATCAACTACTAGAGACAGATGGTTAACAACTTAATGACATTTATTGTTGACCTGAAGCAGATCTTGTGTAAGATCAAAAACATTTGTCAAATTTTACATTAAAATTATTTACTGCATCATAAAGGTTTTGTTTGATGTATTTTTTAAATATATTTTTAAATTCAAATAAAGTTCATCAAAATTTGTTTTCAAGAATAAACATTTAAGCAACAGATTTGATGACAAAAAAGAGCACCATACTACAGCTGAAACAAAAGGAAATTAATTACAGTTTTACAAAAACACTTTAAATTTGAATATAACTTTAGAATCACATAACGATGTACAAAAATTTTGAGATGACAAAAAGTTTTACAAAAAATAATTTTCCCTTAATTTAATTAAAGCTTTGCAAGAGGTAAAAATGTGAGATGTATCAAATTGTAAACTTTTTTTTACAGAAGTCACAAAATGCCTGGTCTCTTATTCTTTATGGCTTTCTGCAGCTTGTCCAATTCATTAAAACAAGAAGACATTATTTTAAAAAAATTACAATGTATGTGTAGTTTAGTTTTAATTAAAACAAAAAATTTTTCTATATTAAGGTAATTCAAAGAGCACCATTCAAAAAACATTTATCTACCAATTATTATACTTGTGATTAAAATAATTCTCTTTTTTTCTCCTTAAAACTAATTAAATAACTTTCACCCATCTTTACCAATACCTACAGATTCATTCCTACCTACAGATTAATTCAGTACCTACAGATTCATTTGATTCTAATAACTGGTCCTAAAAACAAAATTCTTCTTACATCTTGAATTTGGTTCCCATCTTCTGATAAAATACAAGGAATGATCAAATTGAACATGTTTGAGTTAATTTATTAAGACAAATGAAACAGCATATCCATCAATATGGTATAATTAAACAAAGCAATATATGAGGAAGCCAGAATGCACTTTTGTTGATTAAAAAAGTCACCATGGGCATACAGACACACATTCCACTGCTTGGGGAGACAATGGATACCATCTGCGAGGAACAATTGTTGATTGGTCCTTGAACCATTGGATGACTGCTTCCTTGACTTTTGCATCACAGTTAAAGCATTGTTCCTTAAGAGCTTTTTTAAAGAATTCAATGAATGAAAGGCACATGGTGACAGATAGGGTCTCTAGGAAGGGTGGTGCAGAACCTCCCAACCTTTTTGTGCTAAAACTTCCTGCAGAGTTAAATCAAATTTTGACCATACAAATAATTTTGGGTCAGTACAAAATAATCCTTCTTTTTTTTTAATCAACTACTAGAGACAGATGGTTAACAACTTAATGACATTTATTGTTGACCTGAAGCAGATCTTGTGTAAGATCAAAAATATTTGTCAAATTTTACATTAAAATTATTTACTGCATCATAAAGGTTTTGTTTGATGTATTTTTTTAAATATATTTTTAAATTCAAATTCTAAATTAATTTCATTTAAATACTATTTTATTAAGTTTTATTTAAATGCTAATTTATTCTAGGAAGGTAATCTGAAGGTGATTTTATAATTTTACTAATTCTATTAATTTGTGTTTTGCTATTTATGACAATACCAAGACATTATGACATTAAAAATACATACACTATATAATTGAAGCCGACCTATTCTTGGAGGATCTGATGTCAATGACACAACATTAAAATTTTTCACAATATCACTCAGGTATAAATCAGTTGTATTTATACACATCTGCAGAACTCTGGTGGAAAACTAGGTGAGCGTTGTGATTAGCATATCTACATGAATAACAAAGTTTCAAGGATTTTTTGATTTAATCAAAAAATTTATCCTTGGAACTTTGTTATTCCTGCACAGTGTTTGCAACATGTGGTCGATTTGTCATGCAACAAAATCGGATCATGTGATAGCATGCCAGATCTCTTATTCTTTATGCTTTATGCAGCTTGTCCAATGTTGCATTGTAACAGTTAACATTGATGTTCATGTGAGGTTTTTTAAAGTTCACCAGCAAATGCTCCACCATGTCAAAAAATGTGGTCATCATAACCTTACAGATGGAGGCCTGTGGCTTGAATTTTTTGTGTTGTGAGCCAGGGTATTTCTATTACATGCTCACTCATCTGGTTTGCTCAAAGTGGTGGCACCATGTTTTAACCTTGGAAGGATTCCAAATAATTCCATCCATGTTGACACTACTTTATGCCAAAAAGAAAACATGCAAGATGACTGATCTTATCTCCACTTTTCATTGGTGTATTCTTATCATGCCATGTGACATCATTTCCCTCCATGCACTGGATCATGTGACACGGTACAAACGAGTTTTATTTGATCAATCCTAATAGATATCCTTATGCTTTTCTTACTGATTTTTGAGCTGTTTAAAAAATCAGCACAAAGTGGATTTATAACATTAAAAACAATAATAAACTCTGAAACTCCAAATATTCCAAATAAAAATTTAGTTAAGTATATTATAAATATTTAACAGGAATATGTATATTAAAAAATATTGAATTTGAATAAATAAAACATAGAATATGAAAAGAATATTTCTATTTCATAAATGAAGAAAAAGTTAATAAAATCTGTTTACAATAGTCAGCTATGTCAAAAGGCACTTTTAGCTTTTGACATAGCTGACAAATCTATTTACAGTGCCTTTTATTTTATTACTAAAATGTGTTTTAACTTTATAGAAGTTCATGCTGTAATGCCACCAATGGAAAGTTATATGGGAATTCCAGGTCATGAAAGGAAAAAGCATTTGTATGAAGTAAGTAAAAACTGTGATATGAAATCATGGGTTTTAGAAAAATATTTACTTATACAGTGGATTATCAATCTATCATTTCCATATTAATTGTTTTCCCACATCTATCTGTTGTTTTTTTCAGTCCCAAATAACAACCCATATATATAATGTTAATTTTTTCCATATTCTTTGTTCCCAAAATGTTTGTTCTGTATTTAACTGAAAGAAAAATGTTATCCTGCATCAATCATTTCACTCACAATAGAGGGCACTAAATTGAAACACTAATTTCCATGTACTAAAAATAAAAGCATGTCAGATTTAATAGTTAAACCTTTGACTTCAGCTAACCAGTTTTTATTGTAATTTTTGACTACTTTTTATGTCTACTGCTTTACAAAATACTGTACTAAAGTACAGTATATTGGTGACATTTTTCTCTTAAAGCCTGGCATCATTGGTAAAAATCAGCACGTCTTGAGGTAGAGAAAATCATATATGGACAAGTGAGAAAAGTCAGAACCCTTGTTGAGAAATTGAAAATTATAGAGTAAGTAGAAGGAAATCCATCAGAAAAAAGGGTTAATAGAGAATATAAAATAAATTTCAGTATTGTTAACAATTTCTTAAAATGTAGAATGAATGAACATCTGTATGCATGTTCCATATTGTTTAGTATTACAGAAGGCCATCTTATATGCCTATCACTGGAAAATACACATTCCATACAAGATAAACAATAAAAGCATTGACATCATAAATTTCTCATGTCAATTGTGTTCCTGCATTAATCATTTTTTCTCCCAAGTTCCACCAAAAACAAAAGAGCAAGAATCCACTTTATTTAATATAATTAATATGTATTTTATTAAATATATTCAATTTCTTATTTTAAAACTTTTTTAAAATGCATTTCGATAAAAAGTAAAAATATTCATTAAAGAATTAAATGTAAGATTATATTTTATACTGTGTTGAAATAATTTTCAAACAATAAGCAGGAAGTAATTGTTAGTTATATATTTAAAATATTTCAGTTAATCAAAAAAGGCGACCCTGTAATTGGAAAAATTACAGGTATACAAAACTATGGTTTTGTAATAACCTTGCTTTGTTTGGATGGTGGAAAACGAAGAGAAATTCATGATCTTGGCATCAAAGTGAGTACATTTATTTTTATTAAATAATGATAACTTTTAGTATTATATAAAATACTACATCTGGAATAAAGCCAGAAAATAAGATGTTAATTGTACTTTTTTGTTACTAATATATAGTAAATGAATCAGAATATTTTTAGTCTAATATATTTAATTTTATTATTGAGTATTTAAGTTATTTCTGACAATTTAGAAAATATAATAAAATAATAATAAATCTAAAATAAAAATTATGTACCATAATCAATATTTTTGTTTTATCATCATAGAAATTTAAGTAAAATTTGGCATGTACCAACAACTTTATTCAAAAATATGCATTAAAAAGTTTCTTTCTGTTTGTATTTTTAGAAATTTTTTAATCATTTAAAAATTCTAAGAACCACTGTTTTTATTTTAATTCATAATGAGTAGATCTTTGAAAAAATGTCTGATAATAAAAGATTAACATGTTAACTACTATCCGACGCACCGGTGGTTGTACTAATTATGGCCATACAGAGCCATATGACGTGCTGGTGGTTGTAGTAGTTAGGGCCGTTCAGAGCCATACGACCACTGGCGGTCAGAGCCAACTTTATAGATGTGCATGAGAGGCCACCACTAGGATGTAAAACAACTTNTTTTTTTTTTTTTTTTTTTTTTTTTTTTTTTTTTTTTTTTTTTTTTTTTTTTTTTTTTTTTTTTTTTTTTTTTTTTTTTTTTTTTTTTTTTTTTTTTTTTTTTTTTTTTTTTTTTTTTTTTTTTTTTTTTTTTTTTTTTTTTTTTTTTTTTTTTTTTTTTTTTTTTTTTTTTTTTTTTTTTTTTTTTTTTTTTTTTTTTTTTTTTTTTTTTTTTTTTTTTTTTTTTTTTTTTTTTTTTTTTTTTTTTTTTTTTTTTTTTTTTTTTTTTTTTTTTTTTTTTTTTTTTTTTTTTTTTTTTTTTTTTTTTTTTTTTTTTTTTTTTTTTTTTTTTTTTTTTTTTTTTTTTTTTTTTTTTTTTTTTTTTTTTTTTTTTTTTTTTTTTTTTTTTTTTTTTTTTTTTTTTTTTTTTTTTTTTTTTTTTTTTTTTTTTTTTTTTTTTTTTTTTTTTTTTTTTTTTTTTTTTTTTTTTTTTTTTTTTTTTTTTTTTTTTTTTTTTTTTTTTTTTTTTTTTTTTTTTTTTTTTTTTTTTTTTTTTTTTTTTTTTTTTTTTTTTTTTTTTTTTTTTTTTTTTTTTTTTTTTTTTTTTTTTTTTTTTTTTTTTTTTTTTTTTTTTTTTTTTTTTTTTTTTTTTTTTTTTTTTTTTTTTTTTTTTTTTTTTTTTTTTTTTTTTTTTTTTTTTTTTTTTTTTTTTTTTTTTTTTTTTTTTTTTTTTTTTTTTTTTTTTTTTTTTTTTTTTTTTTTTTTTTTTTTTTTTTTTTTTTTTTTTTTTTTTTTTTTTTTTTTTTTTTTTTTTTTTTTTTTTTTTTTTTTTTTTTTTTTTTTTTTTTTTTTTTTTTTTTTTTTTTTTTTTTTTTTTTTTTTTTTTTTTTTTTTTTTTTTTTTTTTTTTTTTTTTTTTTTTTTTTTTTTTTTTTTTTTTTTTTTTTTTTTTTTTTTTTTTTTTTTTTTTTTTTTTTTTTTTTTTTTTTTTTTTTTTTTTTTTTTTTTTTTTTTTTTTTTTTTTTTTTTTTTTTTTTTTTTTTTTTTTTTTTTTTTTTTTTTTTTTTTTTTTTTTTTTTTTTTTTTTTTTTTTTTTTTTTTTTTTTTTTTTTTTTTTTTTTTTTTTTTTTTTTTTTTTTTTTTTTTTTTTTTTTTTTTTTTTTTTTTTTTTTTTTTTTTTTTTTTTTTTTTTTTTTTTTTTTTTTTTTTTTTTTTTTTTTTTTTTTTTTTTTTTTTTTTTTTTTTTTTTTTTTTTTTTTTTTTTTTTTTTTTTTTTTTTTTTTTTTTTTTTTTTTTTTTTTTTTTTTTTTTTTTTTTTTTTTTTTTTTTTTTTTTTTTTTTTTTTTTTTTTTTTTTTTTTTTTTTTTTTTTTTTTTTTTTTTTTTTTTTTTTTTTTTTTTTTTTTTTTTTTTTTTTTTTTTTTTTTTTTTTTTTTTTTTTTTTTTTTTTTTTTTTTTTTTTTTTTTTTTTTTTTTTTTTTTTTTTTTTTTTTTTTTTTTTTTTTTTTTTTTTTTTTTTTTTTTTTTTTTTTTTTTTTTTTTTTTTTTTTTTTTTTTTTTTTTTTTTTTTTTTTTTTTTTTTTTTTTTTTTTTTTTTTTTTTTTTTTTTTTTTTTTTTTTTTTTTTTTTTTTTTTTTTTTTTTTTTTTTTTTTTTTTTTTTTTTTTTTTTTTTTTTTTTTTTTTTTTTTTTTTTTTTTTTTTTTTTTTTTTTTTTTTTTTTTTTTTTTTTTTTTTTTTTTTTTTTTTTTTTTTTTTTTTTTTTTTTTTTTTTTTTTTTTTTTTTTTTTTTTTTTTTTTTTTTTTTTTTTTTTTTTTTTTTTTTTTTTTTTTTTTTTTTTTTTTTTTTTTTTTTTTTTTTTTTTTTTTTTTTTTTTTTTTTTTTTTTTTTTTTTTTTTTTTTTTTTTTTTTTTTTTTTTTTTTTTTTTTTTTTTTTTTTTTTTTTTTTTTTTTTTTTTTTTTTTTTTTTTTTTTTTTTTTTTTTTTTTTTTTTTTTTTTTTTTTTTTTTTTTTTTTTTTTTTTTTTTTTTTTTTTTTTTTTTTTTTTTTTTTTTTTTTTTTTTTTTTTTTTTTTTTTTTTTTTTTTTTTTTTTTTTTTTTTTTTTTTTTTTTTTTTTTTTTTTTTTTTTTTTTTTTTTTTTTTTTTTTTTTTTTTTTTTTTTTTTTTTTTTTTTTTTTTTTTTTTTTTTTTTTTTTTTTTTTTTTTTTTTTTTTTTTTTTTTTTTTTTTTTTTTTTTTTTTTTTTTTTTTTTTTTTTTTTTTTTTTTTTTTTTTTTTTTTTTTTTTTTTTTTTTTTTTTTTTTTTTTTTTTTTTTTTTTTTTTTTTTTTTTTTTTTTTTTTTTTTTTTTTTTTTTTTTTTTTTTTTTTTTTTTTTTTTTTTTTTTTTTTTTTTTTTTTTTTTTTTTTTTTTTTTTTTTTTTTTTTTTTTTTTTTTTTTTTTTTTTTTTTTTTTTTTTTTTTTTTTTTTTTTTTTTTTTTTTTTTTTTTTTTTTTTTTTTTTTTTTTTTTTTTTTTTTTTTTTTTTTTTTTTTTTTTTTTTTTTTTTTTTTTTTTTTTTTTTTTTTTTTTTTTTTTTTTTTTTTTTTTTTTTTTTTTTTTTTTTTTTTTTTTTTTTTTTTTTTTTTTTTTTTTTTTTTTTTTTTTTTTTTTTTTTTTTTTTTTTTTTTTTTTTTTTTTTTTTTTTTTTTTTTTTTTTTTTTTTTTTTTTTTTTTTTTTTTTTTTTTTTTTTTTTTTTTTTTTTTTTTTTTTTTTTTTTTTTTTTTTTTTTTTTTTTTTTTTTTTTTTTTTTTTTTTTTTTTTTTTTTTTTTTTTTTTTTTTTTTTTTTTTTTTTTTTTTTTTTTTTTTTTTTTTTTTTTTTTTTTTTTTTTTTTTTTTTTTTTTTTTTTTTTTTTTTTTTTTTTTTTTTTTTTTTTTTTTTTTTTTTTTTTTTTTTTTTTTTTTTTTTTTTTTTTTTTTTTTTTTTTTTTTTTTTTTTTTTTTTTTTTTTTTTTTTTTTTTTTTTTTTTTTTTTTTTTTTTTTTTTTTTTTTTTTTTTTTTTTTTTTTTTTTTTTTTTTTTTTTTTTTTTTTTTTTTTTTTTTTTTTTTTTTTTTTTTTTTTTTTTTTTTTTTTTTTTTTTTTTTTTTTTTTTTTTTTTTTTTTTTTTTTTTTTTTTTTTTTTTTTTTTTTTTTTTTTTTTTTTTTTTTTTTTTTTTTTTTTTTTTTTTTTTTTTTTTTTTTTTTTTTTTTTTTTTTTTTTTTTTTTTTTTTTTTTTTTTTTTTTTTTTTTTTTTTTTTTTTTTTTTTTTTTTTTTTTTTTTTTTTTTTTTTTTTTTTTTTTTTTTTTTTTTTTTTTTTTTTTTTTTTTTTTTTTTTTTTTTTTTTTTTTTTTTTTTTTTTTTTTTTTTTTTTTTTTTTTTTTTTTTTTTTTTTTTTTTTTTTTTTTTTTTTTTTTTTTTTTTTTTTTTTTTTTTTTTTTTTTTTTTTTTTTTTTTTTTTTTTTTTTTTTTTTTTTTTTTTTTTTTTTTTTTTTTTTTTTTTTTTTTTTTTTTTTTTTTTTTTTTTTTTTTTTTTTTTTTTTTTTTTTTTTTTTTTTTTTGTTTGTTTACGTTAAAGTTTATATTACAGATTTGATAATGAGATGAACTTAGTCTCTTGAAAAGTTTTATACAATAAAACTTGATGATTCCCATAGCTTTTACATATCATTACTTGTGTATTGTCAATAGTAGTAGATTTTAATCTGTCTGTAAATGTTACATAAATTTTCATTTAAACACAAGAAATTTAATAAGGAAAGTTAAAGTATGACATTGTATTTTTTTGATGTTATAATTTTTAAATGAGTACTTTTTAATAAATTATTCCAGTAATTTTTTAAAAATTTAGAACATGTTTGAAAAATTACTAAAACTCACTCTATTTTTCTAATTTTTAAAATAAGGAGCTGTATTAAATGAAGTGACAGATCCAGGAACAGGTCGCTTACATATTTCAATGAAGAATGATCACCTAGCACCAGCATATCAGAATAAATTGAAATTGGTATGATGGTGATATTTTTCTTATTTTTAACAGTATAATTTCTTATTTAAACATATAAGACTTTTAAACAAACATCTTAAATTCTGTATTGGCCATTTAATTTTTTTGATCATTTTGTTAATATTATGAAGTTTGAAATAGAAATATCTGAAAATTCCATGCATTTCCATTATATTAAAATATTTCATTAAAACAGTTTATATATTTTAAAATATATATGATTGTTATTCTGCCCACAACAATGACCTATTCTTGGAGGATCTGATGTCAATGACACAACATTAAAATTTTTCACAATATCACTCAGGTATAAATCAGTTGTATTTATACACATCTGCAGAACTCTGGTGGAAAACTAGGTGAGCGTTGTGATTAGCATATCTACATGAATAACAAAGTTTCAAGGATTTTTTGATTTAATCAAAAAATTTATCCTTGGAACTTTGTTATTCCTGCACAGTGTTTGCAACATGTGGTCGATTTGTCATGCAACAAAATCGGATCATGTGATAGCATGCCAGATCTCTTATTCTTTATGCTTTATGCAGCTTGTCCAATGTTGCATTGTAACAGTTAACATTGATGTTCATGTGAGGTTTTTTAAAGTTCACCAGCAAATGCTCCACCATGTCAAAAAATGTGGTCATCATAACCTTACAGATGGAGGCCTGTGGCTTGAATTTTTTGTGTTGTGAGCCAGGGTATTTCTATTACATGCTCACTCATCTGGTTTGCTCAAAGTGGTGGCACCATGTTTTAACCTTGGAAGGATTCCAAATAATTCCATCCATGTTGACACTACTTTATGCCAAAAAGAAAACATGCAAGATGACTGATCTTATCTCCACTTTTCATTGGTGTATTCTTATCATGCCATGTGACATCATTTCCCTCCATGCACTGGATCATGTGACACGGTACAAACGAGTTTTATTTGATCAATCCTAATAGATATCCTTATGCTTTTCTTACTGATTTTTGAGCTGTTTAAAAAATCAGCACAAAGTGGATTTATAACATTAAAAACAATAATAAACTCTGAAACTCCAAATATTCCAAATAAAAATTTAGTTAAGTATATTATAAATATTTAACAGGAATATGTATATTAAAAAATATTGAATTTGAATAAATAAAACATAGAATATGAAAAGAATATTTCTATTTCATAAATGAAGAAAAAGTTAATAAAATCTGTTTACAATTGTCAGCTATGTCAAAAGTCACTTTTAGCTTTTGACATAGCTGACAAATCTATTTACAGTGCCTTTTATTTTATTACTAAAATGTGTTTTAACTTTATAGAAGTTCATGCTGTAATGCCACCAATGGAAAGTTATATGGGAATTCCAGGTCATGAAAGGAAAAAGCATTTGTATGAAGTAAGTAAAAACTGTGATATGAAATCATGGGTTTTAGAAAAATATTTACTTATACAGTGGATTATCAATCTATCATTTCCATATTAATTGTTTTCCCACATCTATCTGTTGTTTTTTTCAGTCCCAAATAACAACCCATATATATAATGTTAATTTTTTCCATATTCTTTGTTCCCAAAATGTTTGTTCTGTATTTAACTGAAAGAAAAATGTTATCCTGCATCAATCATTTCACTCACAATAGAGGGCACTAAATTGAAACACTAATTTCCATGTACTAAAAATAAAAGCTTTGATAATAAATTAATATTTGATAAAAAATTGCCAGGACAAATAATTGTAAAAATTAACAAATATTAGAGTATACAATGAAGTCTTTGTCCTTGTTCATACCTCAGAAAAGTAACAGTCTCATGACAAGAGTTCACCTTTTACTGGAGGCTACTTCGTACCATAATATGTATATTATTACCTTTATTTTCATTATATATTTATTGTTTTCTTTACAGAATGGATTCTGAATTGCTGACTCAGGCACTTAATTATCATGGTCAAGAATTCAGGCGTGTCCTTGATTCTGAGAAAGGACCTGATTTTTTAAAAGATATTGATATGAGAATTGTAAACTATTTTGAATATCATAGAAGAGCCAAAGAATTTGGGTAAGCTGTTCAATTTATAAATTACTTAGCTTTAATTACTAATAAAAAATTATCAATAAAATGAATTAACTTAGATATCCTTGTTTAATTCTCACAAAAGAGAATATTTTTATTAGATTTTTAAAAAATTCTTTTGTTGATATTTAAAGTTTGAGTCAGTAACTCTTCAATTACAAAAAGAATTTATTGATTTCTTTATTAATAATGTCAACTGTAACTTTNAATCCTGTGAAATAAAATGGAGGAGCTTCACAAATTGATATGTAATACATTTATTACTTGAATATTATGCTGAATAAACTACTGTATTTGAATATTTGTAATTTCTATAGTCATTTAATTTATGTTTAAGTAATTAAAGTTTTAATATGAAATTATAATAAAAGTATTTTGATTGTTTGAACATTCTGATTTAGCATAGTGAACTTCTTTAAAATAAGTTCTTGAAAGTAATTTGATAACTGAAAACAATTTTTTCTCTTTTATGAAAATCATTTTATACATAGTTTTTAAATATATTTACATTAATGAAATTTTTAGGGCTTAATTACTGAAGATGATCTACCACTTCATTACAGGTAAGAAATTAAATGTATAAATTAATACTAATTAATATTGATAATTCTTAAACAGAGTTTATTAATAATCATTGAAATTTTGATTTAATCTCGCTTTATTGTCTTAAGATACAATTATGCTCTTAGAATAATATTTTAGTAAAATATCTTTATAAATTTGCTGTTTTAAAATAAAATTTAAACACCATTTAAGTTCAACAAATTTAAGTTATATTAATTTTAAATGGTCAAAATAACTGAGGAATTTCTTTCAAATAAAAGGGATTCACCCCTCTTTTTAATCTGTTAACAAATATGATATATTTGTATGAAGGCATAAAACATCTAAAATAAAATGTGTTTGTTTACTTTTGAAACGTTTACTGGATTTACTGGCAATTTCTAAATATTTGAAATCAAATAAACAAATTGGTTTTGAAATGGTTGGCCATATAGTATATAGTTCTGTATTTTCTAAAAATGATTATATTTGTAGATATATTTTGATTGTTCTAGTTTATTAAATTGGAAATATTGTTACTTCAGAAATTTTATGTAATGTAAGCAAAATTTACACAATAACTAGTTTTGTGTACTTAAATTTATTACATTTTACTTATAATTCTGTAAGGAACAATAAGGTATTATCGCTGACAGTCTGCCTTAGTAGGAGGCAGAGACACTCACATTTCCCACGACTTAGAATGATGCGAGAGTCGTTTGGATGTATGGGGTAGTGGTTGCTGGATACAGACTCACACAGAAACTGGAATAACAAAATTAATCATGTTTATTAAGATAAAAGACATGCTTACAATGGAGGTATTACACTGTCCAGTTGAAGAAGATCACAAAATGAAGACGAGTTTACACATCAATCGGAGAAAGTGCATCATCAAATTTTTTTCAAAAAGTTCTAGAAAATCCAAATGTTAGAGGTCTCAGGTGGAGGAATTGTCAGTGTGGGAAGTTGAGTCCCTTTTTGAAATCCTGGGCTTCTCTTGTTCTTTGGAAGAGTTTCAATGTAGGTTCCAGGTTTCTATGATCTTGTTCCCAACCTCCTCATGTCCTTGGAATTTTGGGCTTCTATACCATCTTTGCCTGAAATCTCACATTTTGGTTGGTATGAAACAGTGTTCTCTCCTAACTCTCCTAATAGATTGGTTCCCGATCTATTGCTAGGGATGCAATTTGGGCCATGCGGTTGGTGAACACACTCACCTAGACCACTTTTCTTGGAGTTTGTTCATGCTCTTCCTCGCATGACTGTCGCATGACTAAATTTCAGCCAAATGTGTTTTTTCCTGTCTCAGAGATGTAGCTGGATTCATGTGGTCCCAGTTGCAGCCCCCTTCAAAGGAGCCCCTGCATTTTCCCTTTGAACTCTGTGTAAGGTGACCACCAAAATTTTCTCAGTGGCCGATCTCCTGCTCTCCGTCACGATCTACGATTGGGGATGTGTCAGTTAAATCTTGGAATGTGACAATTAAATCATATTGCACCTTGTTTCTTTCCAGCCCTGGTTCTGTTTATGAAAATAAGTCACTGGTTTATTGGCTTTGGTTCGACAGCCAGTCTCTGATTCAAAGGGTGAGGTCCCAGCCTCACATTCAGATGATTCATTCATATTTTTATTATCCAAAAACTAGTCACATAATTCAAATATATAAGAGAAAATGTATGAAAATGAAATGAAAAAGTTGCTATGTAGATGATGATGATAATGATGGTATATTAGATTATTTTATTTAAATGCAAAACTACTTGATTGCTTTAGTGATGATATTGGCATTTTTTTAAATCTGTTTTGTTCATTTTTTCTACTAAAATATAATTTTTGATAATTACATTCTATCAGCAAAAACAAAATAATCAAATTATGTAAATTGAAATTTGTTTTATTAAAAATTAACAAAAGGAGGTCTAATATAAAATACTCTTTTTTGTAGTAATGGTTTTTTCTGCTACAATAGTTAGAAAAAGCACTGCACATGCATTTTGTTTCCCATGATATGTCATTCAGTTGCCATGAAGCATTGGAATGGGGCACTACATGCATTTACTGTCAGAAGTTATCACAAAACCACCAATAGTTTTGAAGCTGCTAGGCCTAAATTTTGCCAACATTTTAATTTAGCACACCATGATCTTATCCCATCTGCCCATATAATTAAAACATGGGTTAAGAATTTTTGGAAAATGACTCAATACTCAAGAAAAAGCCTCCTGGTGGAAGAACTGCTTGTATGCCAGAAAAGATCGGGTTGCTGTTGACATCAGCTCTAAGCATAGCAATGTTTTCTATGATCATCTCAACTGCAAGACATCCTGTGAAGAAATAACAAATCACATGGCTTAAGATGACCACTTTATTGACAGTTTGTGGATGTCTGATGAAGCACATTTTTAGTTATTTGGTGTTACAAAACTAGATATTGGTCTGCAGTAAATAATTGCAGACCAATATCTAAAGTGAAGTCCAAGTCGAGCAACAAGAAATGAGAATGGCTTTGTGAAGGGCTGCAGAAACATCAACATCAATCATCGAAACAATATTAAGATATCTATTACTAAAGGAAGACAGCAAGGAAATTTTTAAAAAGACAATAGTGTGTTTACTCTGAATGTAGTGTATAAAGAAATTTCATAAAGAAAGATTTTAATATAAAGGCCTAAATCTGTTTATCAGTGTGTAAGTGACTTCTCTGTAACTCTTATTTTTGTCCACTCCAGGTGAAATTTTGTTTTGTAGCTCTTTATGTTAAAACAGATAATATAAACTTTTTAATTTCTAGAAATATTAGCAACTCGTCTTGAATTTCTTGAAATCTCTACTCTTCTCAATTCTTCAATTGCTACTTTCTCATAAAAGGTATTCTATCATGCTTGATGGGGAAATTTCATGTTTACTTACATTATTGTCTCAAGTATTTAAAAGCAAATACTTTTTTTAAATTAAAAATTTGCTTTTCTTTTTATCACTTGAAAAGAGAATAATATCCACATTGAATATTTCATCTGAAATGTAAAATCTCAAAAAAATTTTTGAGAGATTTATGTATTTTATGTGTAATAATTGACAAATTGTTTGCAGGAATTCCAAATTAAAAACAAAAAAATTTTATAAATTCTGCTAATATTTTAATCTTTTCAGATTAAACACAGACATATATACAAATATTTCAAAACCCAATACATTTGTAATAAGTCAAACAACTACTAAATTACATTGAGCTATTTTTCCATGATTATATTTGATTAATTTCTAAAATTAATTAAATATAATCATGCTCATGGAATATAAAAGTATAATTTCTAAATAATTAATTACTAAGGAAGATGTTAATTTTACTTTAATGATAATTAGATACAAGACAAATTTTGAATTTAAAATTAAATTTATACAGAAAAATTCAAAAGGAAAAATATTTTAAGAACTTATTATGCTCTATTTATATTCAATTTTCTGACAAAAATAAAGTACAGTAGAGCATCAATTATCCAAATACCAATCAACCAAAACATCAGTTAACCGAAAGCGTTCAATGGGCAAATTCAAATTTCTGCTAGGGCTGTGGCATTGCAACACTCTTCCCCTCCCTGCCAAACTGAACTGTAGGCCTAATTTAATGTATTACATTATGTAAGGTATGTATTTGTAAGACGAGTGATACAAATTATATACAGTACAGTTTTGTGTTTAATATTTTTTTTTGTAAATGATCAGTTATCCGAATGACTTCAGTCCCAAATTGTTTTGGATAATCGATGCTCTAGTGTATAATGAAGTTCTTAGAAGATCAGAGTTGTTTCTTTCTATTTGATTGAAGAATAAAAAAAAATTTTTAATTTGGAGAAATTTGTTTAACTTGATGGTTAAACATTTTACATTTTACTGTTTTGTTTTTTATCACAATATAAGAATATTGTGATAAAAAACGGTAAAATGTAAGAAAATTTTCTATACGATCAAATATGAAAATTGATTATAATTATTTGTAAATAAGTTAAATTTACATATTAATTTAGCTTTAACAATAATACCATGGAAAACCATTCTGTTAGTATTACGGGATATGGCTAGTATGTTTGTATAATATATGTTAAAAAGTTTTTATGATTATTGTTATTTAAATATTGTATTTTTCATGTTATAAAAGTTGTTTTATATATTTTAGCTTTTATATATTATGCCAAAAAAATTTACCTTTGTACCCACTTAAAAGGAATGAAAAATGTTTGAAATACATTTGGGAGTAATAAAAAGAAAAAACAACCTAAAAGTTTTGTCTTCCTTCCCTACTATAATTGTAATAAGTCAGGATTAAAAAAAGACCCAAGTAGGCAAAGAATACTTTAAAATGAAGAAGCAATATATAAAAAATGAGTGTAAAATGTGCACATTATTTTAAGGCTTGAAGGCACTCTGTTAACACATGATGGAGATTAAACACGATGTTATTGATATGATTTGTTTTTCATATTTATGGTTTTGAGTTGAAAGGTTTGCTGGACTAATCAGTCTTGGGATTTTTACACTGTCCCATAGGATTTTAGAGTTGTTACCCAGGCAGCTTTGAGAGGCCAGCTTTGTTGTGAATCTTCCTCTTTCCATGTTTTTTTTTTTATGTTTGAAGAGTTTCCACTTCAAAATTTGGGCTGTGGCACAAATTACTGGAAAACTTTGCTGTCATTTATTATAAAAATCTTATATACCTCTGATAGTTCTAGTTTGTTCCATGAGTCTGTGCTCAAGATTATTTTTATAGATGGCAAATTAGTTATCACCAGACAAATTGTGAGGTATCTTGTCTGGCAGAACAGAGAATATGTTGTAGCCCCTAGGTACTGGAAAGTGACCTTGAGAATTTGAGACCTCTTGATCAGATGGTGTGTGAAAAGGAAAGAATGTGCATTGTANTTTATATGTAATAATAAAATTACATATATACACAGTCTTGCATTTTTTATTAGTCATGTTTTTTCCATTTGTGGTGGTTAAAGAATCTGTCTAATGTCGATTGCTTTTCTCTCTTCTTCAGGATTTTTCAGAAGTAATTAATAGCATTGTTGTTGTAGAGATCCTCAAGCCTGTTAACCTCAACTGGTTTAGATGCCATTCTAAGACCATTGTTCTGACATCCTCCCACTTCTTTAAAAAATTTTTAATAGCAGATATCGGCATTAATCTGTTTTTTCAGAAGAAAACATATCTCACTGTGTTTCTACACAGTGAGATATGTGGTGTTCTTCATTTAAGAGTTCTTGGCATTCTTTTGTCGTCAAATACATTTCAGTTTCCATTATGAGCTCTTCAATGTTCTTTATTTCTTAGATGTGATTTTTGTTACTCCTTTAGCTGTTTGAGTCTTCTTGATAATACAGTATCTTTCTTAGATAAGATTGAACTGCTGCCTACTGTATACCTGTTCAAGCCATACTGCCTAGCAACATCAGACATCTGCCCACCTTTGTTATTATACTCTCACCTTTCGAAAATAAAAACTGACGCAAAACTTAACAAGTGCTGGCCCGACAGTCTTGCAAATACTATAAAAGAATTGTTTCTGTCAGAAAAATAAAAGGCTTGAATTACAAAGGAGAGTTCCAAAGTTTGAGGAATACTATTTGATCAGTATATACCAGGTTGAGTGTCGATGTCAACGTCTGTCGCACTCTGAAAAGTTTTGAATTGTTGCCCGAAGACAAGGGAAGACCAATCTGTATTCATTATTTTATGTTGCTTCTTCTTGTGTTTGTTCTGTGAGGTGTTCGTTGTCCAAACATAAAAATCTTTTGCGAAAGAGTTCATTAATCAATCACCCACTGTACAGAGTTGTCTGAAAAGTCACTATGCAGTAAGAAATTTGCAATGACATTAAACTTATACATACATTATTGCATACAAGACCTGTAAGTTGTATGCAATTGCATACATATAACTAACTGGTCAGTTGGTACTGAATGGACACTTAGAGGTCATTGAATAGAATGTCATTGCAAATTTCTCATTGCATAGTGACTTTTCAGACACCCCATTTTATTCAAAATAAGAGAAGTGATTTTTTTTTTAATTGTTTGTGACTGTAATTTCAGTATTAAGTATGATAAGGATGAATATGCAGTTGCAATTAGAAGATTGCAATCGAATAAATGGGCATTTAAAAGGTAGGTAAAATATTTTGACAATAAAATTTTAATTTATGATACTGTTTTATTTTCTTCTAAATGTTTATTTTATTAAACATTTTCATATGTATACTTTCACAACTTAAATATTTCAAATTATTTGTGTAGTATTTAAATATTTATATATGTATTTTATTTTACAGTATTTATTGAAATTCATTTTTAGTCTTAGCTTCTAATTGAATTAAATTATTCACTTTCTTAATCAAAAAAATCATTTATTTAAAGTTTATTTTTGTGCATAATTTGACGTATGCTTGTCTATCGTACTATAATATAATTCTTATATATACTTATCAATTGTGATTGTGATATACATTAAGTTTCTAATTTTACATAAATAATTAAGGTAAATCAAAATAAAATTGTTTAGTAGTCAAAAATCCATATGTATTCTTTTAATTTTTTATCTGCTCATTGCTATAGTATGTACAGGAAAAGAATAGGCATGAATTTTCCTGAGCTGGAAAGGTTTATGTCAGATGAAAGGGATAGAAGGAGTTGACACATAATCTGATATCTTTCAGCTGCTTCGTTTTTTTTTACATTTCTAAAACATTTTCATACCATCTTTATCATAATTTTATTGTTTTAATTTTTTTACAATTTTAACTACTTACTTTTAATTGTAATATTACTTACAAGTTAATTACATGTCTCCTTTCATCTGACATAAATCCTTCCAGTTTAGACTGATTCATGTCTACTCTTGCTGCATGGACTGTAATTAGTTAGAAAAAAAATGTATTTTTTTCTAGTTAGACATACATTAATACATTTAAATATCTATTATTCATTAATTCTGTAATCTGGGAATACTTAAAATTTTGATTTTTTTTTCCAAATCTTGCATATAAAATTATTGTGTGTTTATTATTTTCAGTTTTATTAGATTTAGAAGCTGATGTTGAAGGTTCTAAATAAAAATGTAATCTGAAGCATTTCAGATGGTTGAAGTTGAATTTATAAACATAAATTTAGCTTCATTGTTATGTACAAGAATGTAGTCAAGTACATTAGATTTTATCACTAGTAATTTATTCTCATATGTATGTAACATTAAGAAAACAAACAATAATTACTTTAATCTAATTGCAAATGAAATCAAAAGATAAAATTTATTCAACATTTTCAAAATTGAACTGAAATAATAAAAATTTCAGCTAATATTCTGTCTACAGACATGGACTGAAATTCATGTTAAAGTACAGTAAGATCCTGCTTAACGCTGGTTTGATATAATGTGGTGTGCTTGAAGCCTAAAAAAGCTCAAAATTTATGCTGATTTAAATTATCGCAGAATTTCATTGATTTGTATATAATACGATTATTTGTGAACACAAACCAATCAGCAAAAGGTGGCAAAAAGGTGTACTTTCTTTAAATCTATGTTTGTTTGGTACAGTTTTGGAAAAAATATAACATCATGAAAAATATCGACTTTGCTTAGCAAGAATTAACTGATAAATGCACAAACGAAGTGTGGAAGAAGTTATGGCTGAAGGTATCCAAGAATTCTCAATGAGAAGAACCTATCGCTGTATCATAAAATTGACCAAACTCAACCTAATCAATATAGCAGGACTAGGAGATATAGATGAGCAGAATATTGAGGAGTTACAGCATGTTTCTGGTGAGAGCCATATGATGACAACCAAGAACTGGCAGAACATGGAATTCATGTGCAACTGGAAAATGGATATTCTGAAAACAAAGACTCCAAAAATTTTTCTGCAGATTTCCTTAGTAAAAGTTTGGTAAAATAACCAAAATCGTTGATCAAATTGTAGTGAATAATCCAGATTTTGAAAGGAGTGCAAAAGCAAAACGAGGCATTTTGGATGTGTTCTCTTGCTACTGACATTTGCTTAAGGAAAGAAAAAACCAACAAATGAAACGTCATGTCTTTATTGCAAAAGAACAAGAATTTCAGAAAAGCCNCAGCACTTTAGTTTTTAGACTGTAAACCTTCTAAAGTTACTTTTTGATTATTCCATGCAGTTATTCTTCAAGAAATTCTAAAAATTAATATAAAAATAACTTAAAATTAAAGTAAAATTTGTTTAATTTTGGTCATGTGTTTCCTTATTCCTATTTACTCTATGTTAAAATGACCTCATTCAACGATGTTTCACTTAGTGCTTTGTTATCTAGGAATGCATCCCCTCATTAAGCAGGGTCTTATTGTACATTATATCAGAATGGAATCTTGAACAAAATAATCCATTATCAATTTTAAGTGTTGTTTACATTTGGAATTGTTGGAATTGTAAATCTGCAGGACTATCTAAGCCATTGCACATAATTCTACAATAAAATTGGCATTATTTTTTAAATTATTAGTTTTAAAAAATGTGATATTTTTGAATTAAACTCCTACATTTTGTTTTGAAAACTTCAGTGTTAAAGATGGTGTAGCCTATTTTAAATCTGGTAATCATGTCGAAGCCTATCAGTGTTTGAATAAAGCTCTTCAAATCGACCCAGAGAATGTAGAAGCATTTGTTGCTAGAGGAGCTCTGTAAGTTTTTCTTAAATCTTATCATTTTTATAATAAAATTATGAACTTATTTCATTTGAAATGTTTAATTTTAAAATATAGATTTGCTAATAATAACAACATAAAAAAAGCTATAGAAGATTTTGAAAAGGCTTTAGAAATAAATCCTTTACATGGAAATGCTCAGAAATATTTATCTGAAACTCTGGTTGCCCTTGGAAAATGGTAAATACCAAATTAGATATAAGGATATTAAGCATTACTTAAGTGATGTTTTCCTTAAGCAATAGTGAAAACACAGTTTATCAGTGTTATAATGATGTAATTATTTATTGAAAATAATTAGAAATTATGATCATTTAAATTAATTTAGATGAGAATCATTTGCATTTTATAATAATGATAAATTGTGTTCTTAAATTTTTTTATGCACATACAAAGTTTCTAAGTCTTTTAATTTTGTTTTTAAATTGTAAAAAATGTATTTACATATTAAGAAATTATATTATAAATTTAAGAATAAATTTTATGGATTTTACATTAAAATATTAGTTAAATTAAACAAAAATATTTCTGAGTTCTAAATCTTATTAATTTTATCATTAAAAATTGTATTTTAATAGAAATGATTCAAATAAAAATATACATATATGTTAAATAAGTTTTCTAAAAGAAAAGAATTAAGGTCAAATTGTTTTTGATAATGTTAAGCTATTCTAATACAGATTCTCATTTTTAAATTGTTAAAGAATAAATCATTTTGGTAAAGGTATAATAATTTAATTTAAAAACCTTAAAATAATTATATAGATTTATAGTATTTTGCAGTGGTCCAAAATAATTATTCTGAAGTTCTCTCTCTCATATTTAATTTTAAAAATTAAATATTTCCAAATTTTTGCCTTTATTTAATCTGAAAACATTAATACAGTAGAGCATCGATTATCCGACCCCCGATTAACCGTCACTTTGGTTAACCGACCACGTTCTAGTCGGCAAATTCAAATGTCCACTAGTGATGTGGAGCTACAATATTTGGCTATGTATTGGCTACTTTAATATTATTTTTACGTGTTTTAGCTATCAACACTCATTCAACCATGAAAGGGAGCCAGTATTTAAACGAGGCTTCATTTTCTAATTTTTAACGATACTGTGAGAATACGAACGATAGTTTTTATTTTCACTCTAACTGCGTAGTTAGTGAGGGTGACTTTCGTCGGCTGAAGGTCATCGACGAGGGACCACGATGTCACGTGACCCCCATACGTCCGAGCGACCAGACGATAAAAATGACCAAATAAGGAGATAAGTTTTTCTACGGCGCGGGAGACTGTCATAAATCAGGGAGAACTGTCAAAAAGACGTCTACAAATTCCAGATTTTTCCCACGCTGATCAGGTATATAAAGGGGTCGGATTTTCTACTCAGGGCTGCGCCAAAGGCGCTTAGCCGAAGAAACTCCTCTGGACAGATAAGGAAGACCGAGAGCGATTGTCAGTGGACTACTCTTCCAGAACTCTCAGGATCTACGAAGCTCATAATCGCCGCTCCATGAAAATGTAAAAACTTTGAATATATTTCTATTCTCCTGATGCGACGGAATTACTCCTCGAAGAGGTTAACAGAAGAAACCTCCAAGCAAACTTCACCAGGAAGAACTCTCTACAGATTAGGAGCGACGGAGCATACATTGTAACCGGACATAGCTGCACGGCCTGAGAAGAACATTGCTCCACATAGCCTTCAAAGGACACCTCGGATTAGAAGACGACGATCACAGTGTGTTTTATCAACGCCCTATAATTGAAGAACGTTGCCTTCGAGGTAAACCCTTGCCATTCTTATTTATCTCTCTCTAATGTGAGCTCTCTCTAGGATTTTAGCGTTAGGTTAGAATAGATTTTAGAATACCTATTTATATCTTGATTCGCGTAAGTTGTATTTAATATCTTTGTGTACATCTTGTTAGTAGTTTATTAAATGTGTTCGTTAATTCAAACCCGTGTAGTCAATTGGACACCTGGTCACGACTTCCGACTCCTCCCCCACTCATATTTTTAGCCCTCCTATAGCCATCTGACAACCGAGAGCGGGTCTTTTCGACCCGTGCAGATTAAGTGGTCATTAGGGTTCACCCAGTGGCCCCCTGCTACTCACAATACAATAGCAACGATTATTATTTTTAAAAAAAATTTGATAGGCTTAACATGGAGGAAAATTCAATGCAAAGTAGGTTAATAGCGATATATTAATATACTAATTACATGGGATATAATAATATACTATACTAATAATGGATTTTTTCATACTTTTCGGTTATCCGACTTTTCAATTATCCGACCAACCCCAGTCCCCAATTGAGTCGGATAATCGATGCTCTACTGTAGTTAATATTTATGTTATCAGTTAAGACTTCATTAATAAATATGAATATTGTTTTTAATTATAAATTTACACACACAATTATATAGTTGTAAACAAAACATGATAATTCAGTATTTTGTGGAAACACACATTTCAGGCTACTGCTTATTAATTTGTGTAAAAATTGTTATATAAATATAAAAAAATTAAAATTACATTAATACTTTGTAATCTATTTTAACACAATTTCTATATGAATTTGGGTTGTTTACTAAGTGCTGCTCTCAACGCTGCTAAGCAGTGCAGTCGAGAGCATTGCTAAACTCATTTTCTTGAAGTGCTGTGCACAGTGATCCTTGCAGTAGCCTCACTGGTTTCAGGTTAAATCTGTAGCGCTCGTTTCATTTGCTTTCCTCTCTGCAACAAGATGGCTGCCTCCATGGTGGAAATGTGCAAAGTTGATTTCTTATATGATGTGACAATAAAAGTGTAAGGTTTTGATCATCATGATTTGTTATTCTGTTTGTACTAATTTTCCTTTTAAAATACTCATTAGTAAAATAAGATATTTTACAAAACTTGTATATTCATAATGTTTTATTATCTACTTTATGTTGCAGAAAGAATCTGCATACATTAAATTTAAATCATTAATTTTTATATCCCAAACAAAGCCTTACATTGCAAAAATGGATTACTTTTAAAATGTTTTGAATTAAATAATTCACAAAACATTCCAACAGTTGCACCAAGATCCACCATTTTGGAATTGCAGCACTGCTCTATGTGCATTGTTAAAATACCTGTAAAAGCAATTGCAACACTTTCACAGTGAGAGCAGCAGCTCTGGGGAGCATTACTGAATTTAACAACAAACTGATTGTACAGTGGTGGAAAAAAGTATGAAGCACTTCGACATAAAAGGTCTATTGTGTACCTACACCTGTACTTGCATTTCTGTATAAGAAGGATGTCAAATAAATATTCAAATTATACAGGTTATTAATAAATTATATAAAGGTACACCAACTGCTGTATAATATTGGGCAATTTTTCAGTGATTATAATTTTAGTTATTAATTTTACCTAGAGGGAGGCATTAGCTGTCATCTCATATTAAATTTAATAATTATAATTTAATTAAATAATGTTAGAATATTTTATTATAATTATTAAATTTAATACAAAAACCCACCATGTGATCCAAAAGAAAGAAATACATTTAATCATATTATAACCTCTATAACTTAATGCTACAATTAAATAAGTTATCGTTCTTCAGTGACAACACCCATTAACAGCATCAATTCCACATGTTAACAAACAATATAACCCTTTTCCCAAAGTGCCACTGCAAAATGCCATGACTTGAATTTCACTAACTCAAAAGTAGCCACTGAATAACCAATATTTTTTAAAATTAAAATTTAACTACAAATAGAGTAGTCACTATTTGTACATAGTTAATTCCTACATGAATTTGCAAATATAATACCTTTACGAAAATTTTGTTATTTAGACTACCATCATTGCTGTGCCACAAAACTTGCCATTTTTGGTAACTTGTTGTCATCTGAGTCCACATTAAGTCACATTTCAAGAGTCTACTGTATATCAGAATTGGTTCATTCTACAAACCAATTTTGATATATTGAGAACATTCCAATACACTTATATATTAGTATGGTTATCATCTCCTCTTAGTATAAAGAAAATGTAGCTGTGTTGATTTTTTTATTATTCATTATCTGTGATGCTTAATTATTAGTTAGTTTTGTGTAACATTACATCATTAAACCATACACAGGTTTAATGGTGAGCTGTTTTACCTTGCTTTTATCACAATATTATTAGTAATTTTTCAAATCAAAAGAAGAAATTAAAAATTTGTTTTGGAATGGATATTCTTATCTTTATTTTTAAAATCAATTAAAATTTGAATAATTAAAAATAAACTGAGTTTCAAAATGTTATAAAACTGAAGATGAGTTTTAAACTTCAGATAATTATATTGAACCACTTTGTACACAGGATATTTCACAAAATTACATCACAGCAACTATTTTACAATATTTATATTAAATAAACCAATATCTGCAAACCTGATGTATATATGTAATAAGCTAACAACTACCAGATTATATTGGGCTATTATATTGTGAATATTTTAAATTTCTGTTTTAATTTAATGATAACAGTATGATATACAATATAATGTGAGGATATTCAAATACAATTTATACTTAAAAATTAATTATTTATATCAATCAGTAACATATATAACTTAAAATATTTATCAAATATAAAATTTTAATTTTTGCACAATGATAAGAAATTAACAGAAACAAAATTCAAGCATACTATAACAGTATAATTGTACTAGAATATTTTGTATGTTAAAGATTTGAATTATGTCTTTATTTTTTTACTTAAATGTGGATTATGCAATTCAGTATTTTTATAAGATAATAATGAAAATATAAAAAGATTTCCAGAAGACTTTTGTAAAAATTTTTAGATATGCATATTAAATCTGCCAAGTATTTCTAAAATTTTAAATGTTTTATATGTATAAAATATGATTAATACTGTATTTTAAAGTTTTCATTGGAAAGTCATGCTCCATCTTGAACATAAAAATGCTACTATATTTTATTTTCCTTTCTGTTTTAATTTCATTTAGAATGAATATTATTTTAACAGAAACAAAATGAAATTAGGTTAAAATGCAATGTTACTTTAGGAATAAATAACAAATTCTTATTGCTACTTATACTATTGCAGCTTTATTATTATTGAAATTGATATTATAATATTGGAAATCCTTGATATACTTTGTTTTGCATACATGCCATTGATTAATTATTAACAGTAAACTGAACATGCATTGATTATACATTATTTGTACAGTGATTGAAAAGCTATTGTGCAGTGAGAAATTTTAATGACATTAATACAAAAATATTACCTGTTCATATGCCTATATTCTATATATATAAATTTAAATGTTTTAGTTGGTCTGAATTTAGAATATAGCTCTCAAATACTATATTAGTTTACTAGGAATTTAAAGTCTGATATACACATGTTGACAAAATAATATGCAGTAGGAAGGAAGCATTAAAATTGAATGAAACTTCATCAGTCCAAACATAATGACAATGGTAATAACTGATTACAATGTCATAGCAAATGGACAATTTTCTGTGGAACGATGCTACAATTCAAAGAAGCCTTTAATATCTTATAAGACCTCCTCTTGCCTAAATACTGTACCAGTACATGTGACAATAGTCATGAAAATAAATTTGCCATTCTTTGACAGATTTACTCATAGGTGAGCATCTGTTATCCATACTTTTCATACTCACAGATAGCCAAAGTTAGCATCCCATCTAGTACCACAAAAGCTTGATTGGCAATAAATCTGGATAGTGAGCAGGCTGAAGAAATGCGATGTAACAGAGACATTCTTGGGAAATCCTAGCTGTGTGAAGCCAATCATTATCTTCTGAAAACTGGTTGTTTTGCCACAAAAGAACTCATGAGAATATGGGATTTCCTGTATATGTCACTATGCTGCTAGAAGTAATAAACTGTCATAAGATGGCCTGCAGATCAGCATGCCAGAAGTAGGCAGTATTACTGCTTAGCAATAAAGACACAATTGAAGCATTTATCAATGATTCTCCACACAGTAATGCAGTGGTTGTCCATTCTCAAACTGAACTAGGATTTGTTGCTAAAGACAAATACCCTGCCAGCTTGTAACAGTCCATGCTTATCTGGCATGGTACCATTGCAAATGAAGCTGACAATATTGATGTCTTTAATGCAGGCTGTGTAGTGGTCCCATGCATGCAAATTTGCTTCCATTAATCACTTGCAATGGTGTTGGAAGAGACAGGGTTCTGAAGCAAGGCTTCCACCTGTTGGATGGTGGATAAAGACATCATTGCAGCTATTCATGCTTGTCTCATGATCAGATGATCATTTCTTATGGTGGTCTGCCTGGGACATCTGGAACTAGCAGGCTCCAGATGTCCCAGGAGCTAGCAGCTGTTATCTTCACACTTGTATGCACTGTTTCATAGTCAAGTCAGAATGGCCCAGATGGCAAAATAGCCCTCCTGTTTTTCTCAGCCTAATGATGAGGCCTTTCTGAAACTCCATCAGCTGTGCTTAATATCTTTGACTGCATTGTACAGGCATAGCTAGCATTTAGAAATCTCCAAACAACAGATATGTTAAAAATTCTGAACATAGTGAGCTTCTGTGAGTCTTCTATGGGATACTGGGTTAGGGAATTTATGACACTTCAATGGCATTGCATGACATGCAATCTGATCACAATTGTAATCATTGACCTACCAGTATATGTCTGAGATAGCTAATGTCAAGTTTCTTTTTCTGTAGCCAAATTTCTTCATATATTAATAAATATGAAGAATGGTTTTAGTTCTCATGTCAACATCTGCTTGTAGATTCAAACATTCAAACAATAAAGCATCTATTACAAATTATGTCTTATATATATATGTGTGTGTGTATAAGTTTGATTTTTGAGTGTCCTCTCTTTAGTTACTTCTGAATTTGCCACAGTTATTTGTGTACTAATAAACTTTTCTACCAGAAAAAGCAGTTTATTTCTAGTATTTGAATATCCTACATAACTGATTATTGAAAGAAGAGATGATTAATATATATAGCAGATTTGAAATATTGTAGACTAAATTCTGCTTTTCATGAACACTGCCTATTGAATAATTGTAATATAGATAAAAATAATATAGATATCTTACACAGAGAAAGAGATACATACAAAAGAAAATTCAAGGAAAGTATAGAAATAATCAAAAATCAAAATAGTATAAATAAAAATCCTAGCATCTCAATAAACGAAAACTGGTTAAAAATTTTATATTAATTGTATTCACTAGATTCAAACTATTATTATTGTGATCAATGTGCTAATTAATAATAACGATTGAACTGTTACATAAATCAACAATAACAAAAAACTGTAATGTTGTAACGGGAATCAAATAATATGTAAATTTATATTAAATGTTAATCCTGTTTACCAACCTCAAGACATTGTAATGTCATTAGTTCATATAATAATCTATAATATTAAATACTGTAATGTTAAATAAATCAACAATCATATATTGTAAAAATATAGTAGATGTCAGATATGTAAATTTATATTGTAGAAGTTATGTAAATTCGTATTATATTGTCAATGCTTATCAAAGGAAATAAGGATTTAGTAAAACAGATTTATGAGTAAAAAGCATAATCAATTGTATACCAATTTGATAATTGTTGTCTAAGGTATATTTTAGATCAAGGATTTTGTAAGACTGTTTTATAAGTAAAAGGTATAATCAATTTTGTACAGTACAACCTTAATAACAGCCGTACTCAAGGTATGCCTTAATTGAATATAGTTTTATAGATACTATAAAACTTATGTATAGTTTTGTATAGATATGTTGTATACTCTCCTAATATTATAGTAGGCTACAAGAAAAAATACTGTGAATAAGCTGATGTTACTGAAAAAATATCGAAAGTAAACTGCTACTTTAATTTATAAGACTTGTATGGATAGGTATGTTTTATTTTTTAAGAATTTTACAAAACTTGTGTATCCCCTTTTTTATGTGTATGTTATATCCTTTTTAAATGTTTTAGTTGACTGAAGAGGGGCTTAAGAGCCCGAAACGTGTAATTTTTTCCACACGTATCAACTAAATAAAGATGAGAAAATCCGCCAAGTCTCTTAATTTATAGCACTATATTGTGTCAGAAGCATAAACAAATAGCAAAGCACGGTTTCATATCATCAAAAAAAAAAGATGATTAATATATTAAACATTAAAAGAAATGAAACTAATGATAAAATTTTCAAAAATTGTAAGAGACATAATCAAAAATAATTAAATTAATAATAATGATAATTTTTATTTTTGTAAAAAAACATTTTACATGATGTTTGGCTCTTCAGTTTTTAAATATTTTAAATATTGAAATGTTTACACAAATTGAATATTAGTGTTTTTAAATGGACCATTATATTAAATTCACACAACTCGAAAAGTATTTTAATTTTATATTTGAACATTGATATGAATTAATTATTTTTTAAATAACTAATTTAACTTCATTAAGATTAAGATTTATCTTTAATTAAATATAAAATAAAGCAGATTATGTATTTTAAATGGTTTAAAGTTGTATGAATTAAAATTTTCTAATTATACTTATTATATAACAAATGTTTTATATATATACTAAAATAGAATATGCTAAAGATAATATTTTAATATAAATTATAAATTAGTTAATTTTATCAGCATGATTCTTGGGAACAATTAACTTATAAAATCTGTTAAAAGTTAAACAAATTTTATTTAATTGTATTTTATAATAATTTTAAAAGTTGTGAAGAAAAAGGTGATATCGAAGAAGCATGTAAAAATTACAAGAGGGCAATTTCAATAAACAATAATAGCGAAGCAGTTGAAGCTTTAGTTGCTGCAGAGAAAAGTAGAACAACTGATTTGGTAGGTAGTTTATTGTTGGTATTATGATTATCTTAATATGAAATAAAAATAATATTTTATAGAAGTTATAAAATTGATTCGGAAGAAAATTCACTTTTAAAAATAAAAATTTATTTTTCTTGTGAAGTAAAATAAAAAAAAATTAAGAAATTCTTAAATTTTTTACCAAATTGTTTAACACAATTTTTACAAAATTGTGTTTTATTTTTAAAGTTTTTTAATCACATTGTACTAAAAGATTAAATATTCATACAAAGTTCATGAAAAATATTTTATAGGCTAAAAGATGTTATCAATATCCACATAGATTTATAAGCAAATTTTTATTATGTGTAATCTTAATCCAATTTTAATTCATTTATTAGTTTTAATGAATCAAAGTAACTGTAAACTGTGTTTTGTTTCAGAATTTGTTGCTTAATAAAGAGAAAAGCAAGTACTACCTGGCATATTTGAAGTTATTTAGGAAAGAATTTGTGCATGTTATGCATTATAGAAAAAGAAAGATATTTGCACATTGCTCTTGATTTCAAAATCATAATTTAAATAAATAAATCCTAATTTTAAAATTAAAATAAGGTAACTTATCATCACTGCAAAATTACTCGTTTTAACTTACGTGTGTATATTCACTTCTTTTAAAGCAAAGAATAAAAAATTTAAATAATTTAAACTAAAATTAAAGTTTATAAAATAAATTATTAGAAATTCATCATGATTATTCTTAATTTATAAAGATAAGAGAATAAAAATAATAATATAATTTTGTTCTATATATGTATATATCAATATATAGAACAAAATTCTATTATTAAACCATATGTATTATATTCTGAATATTGCATAAGTTAAGAAACAGCATGCAATGTTCAGAATATATATAAAGTATTTCATATGACACTAACATTTTTTTCATTCTGAATTAATCTTTATAAATATACACTTTTTGTTTTTAGTTTCCAAAAATTCACCATGAATTTAAAACTACAAAAGTTCTATTTCTATAACCAATGACATTCTCTGTATTGCTGAGACTTCTGGATGTAAAAGACTTTATAAATTTTGGAAAGATCTTTTAAGAATCCATGAAATAATTTAAAAATGGATACAGATTTTTTAGCTTGATTTTGAAAATGAAATTTGATAAACTGTTCAGAGATTTATTTGTACAAGAAAAATTATTTATTTACTTACTTTTTTTAACAATACAGTTTCTTAACATTTATTTTCTGATATTATAATTATATTTAAGTAAAAGAATTAAGATAGATAATTACTAAAGTTATCGAAAGGTAAATACACAAAGTCAACAAAGACAAATATTTTTATTGCAGAAATAAAAACATAAAGATTCATATGAAAGCAATTTGCTGTTTCTCAGCAGAATTACTCTCCCTGTTCAGGCCTTTACTGTAATGTGTAATAAACTTCATCATCATCTATTCAAAAAGCTTGTCTTTGTTACTACAGCAAATGAAATTATAACATTTTCATTTCATCAGAAGCAAAATGGTAACCATGTTTATTGCAAAGTGATTTATCTGTCTACTGGATCAATTCATTGATTTTTACAGCATTGACTTCTGTTGTTGAGCAGCTTGGGCATCCACTGTTGGCAATTCTGGACATGATGCATTCTTATACACCTTGAAGAGTTGGTGATGGATTTAGCTTCATAGAAATCACAGATGAAACCTGCTGAAATATGAGCAGTTATTTGATTTCTATGAGGCTGAAAGTTCCATAAAAATTAAATAATTTCACAGACACCTTTGCAAAACCATTTTTCTAACATTCTCATCATTTGGAAATGTTGCATCCTCATACTGTACATCATTCTAACCATTCATTGCCAATCTAGGTCATTATTGACTACCTAAATTGGAGTTATACTTAAACAGCACTTTAGTTTTTAGACTGTAAACCTTCTAAAGTTACTTTTTGATTATTCCATGCAGTTATTCTTCAAGAAATTCTAAAAATTAATATAAAAAATAAAAAAGATACAGCAGTTTACTATTTAATTAACCAAGATGAAAAAGTGATTGACACTCTGATTAGTCAAATAGCAAATTTAAAATTTACACAGTATATGTTAATTAAATGGGCATTATCAGGTTCAGATAGGTCTCAAAAGTTACTAGAAATGAAATTAATGTAGATTAAAAATCTTTGGTAAGAAATCTGTTTTTGTTTTATTGACTTTATATATTATTCTGACTTTTGGAGACAGGTAGGACTTGAACCTCATCTCATCATTCAACTATTGGGCAGTATATTTAGATTATAGGCTTCTAATTAATAATTTTTTAATATTTATTGCTATCTGTAGTAATGGCAGATTCAATTGCAAGTTCTAACTTATTTAATTTTGAGAAATATTACAATAGGAATATTCTTTGAAAAATGTATTAGGAAGCAATGAATTAATATTAATACAAAATGAAATTTGAAATTTTCCTTTTTTGAATTTTGTAGAAATTCTACTTGACTTTTAAATTTATAATTAATGTTGCATCTTTATTCTTATTAGAAATATAAATTATCTTATCATCATCATTAATGGCTTTTAATAGTAAGGTCATAATTTTCAAAATTAATGTAATAAATGTTAATAATAAAAGATTTTTTTATCATATTTTGTGTCTGATTTTATCCTGTTATTTTATGTTAATTCAATGTAATATAATTATTTATTTATTTTCTATAATTATTAATTATTTAAGATTATCTTACTCTAATAATTATTTTAGAAATATTTGAATTATGTAAAATTTTTTGTTTTTATATTATGTTTGATATATGCTATAATGCATATTGTAAAATTATTTTCTTTAAAGTTTGAATTTAAAAAAAAAACTAATTTAATTTAAATTCAAAAACGAACTGAACTTTTGGTACAGTTTTATTACATATCACATAGAAACTGTTACACCACACTTTTAAAATAAGCTCCTTCTGTTGTTATACATCTCTGCCAGCATCTATACTTGTTAAAGCAGTCTTGGAAACTAATTTTTTTGTGATGTCTTTTAGGCTCTTGCTCAATCTCTGTTGCCAATTGGAATCTGTGACTCTTATCTATTTCCTAAAATAAAAGAAAAGAGTCTGCAAAAGCAGATTAAGTGAGTAAAAGAGGTTTAAAATGCATTATTATTTCCTTCTCTGTCCTGATGTTCATTAACTGGGAATGACTGATGGAAGTTAAATGTGGAAGTGCAGTGATGAAATATTAAAAACATTACAAAACATGGTTTCTGGAATGCTTTGATGAGAGGTGTGGATGCCAACAGAAATATATAGATGCAGAAGGAGCGTACTTTGAATGTGATGCTGTGAAAGAGTTTGTGCGCTTTATAAAATGTTTTATGCAAAAAGTTGGTCTATTTTTGATTCTATCTTATATTTTAATAAATTATAAATTAATCTTAATTTGCAGATACTACAAAATGTTTAAAAAATGAGAAACATATACTGTTTTAAACACATTTAAAATAGTTCTGAAGAATCTTCAGTATCTGTTACAAAAACTATATAAATAATTATTTATTTTTTAGTGAAAGAATCTTAATTAATATTAATTAAAATTTTATAATGAATTTTATATCTCAAGGATAAAGATAGAAAGGGTAATTTGAATTAATAAATTCAAAATAACCTCTTCTATATTTTAGAAAGTCAATTAACTGAGACAACTTAGTACCTATAACAGTTTCCAATAAAAAAAGTATAGAATCTTAAATGAATCTTTAATTTACGGCTGTGTTAAACAAAATTTTGATATTGATATTGATGTTGGACTTTATTGTTTCCTTTGATATATTGATATCAGATATCATTATCTAGATTTCACTTCATTATTCATACATGGTTGTTATAATTTGGTTAACTTATATAAAACGCACACTTTTTGCTATCTCAGCTAAACCCTACAGAGTGATGGGGGCATTGATGATGAGTTACGAACGAGGGTGAATGCATCATGGCTATGATGGAGAGAAGTCACTGGTGTTGTATGTGACAAAAAGATGTCCATGTACCTAAAATTGAAAATCTATCGGACTGTGGTACAACCCATCGCTCTCTATGGTTCCAAATGTTAGCCATCAACAAAAGCAGCTGAACAGTGTCTCCATTTCATGGAGATGTGCATGGCTCACAGGACACTTGGTGTATCCCTCCTCGACCATATCACCAATGACATGATACACCAACAATTTTGCATTGTGCCCATTGAGGCATAAATGAGAGAGAGAGAGAGAGAGACGCCTGCGCTGGTTTGGCCACATCTGATAATCAGCCTCAGATACAGTTGCCAACAATGCCTACCACCTAGAGGTGAATGGCCACCGGCCATGCAGAAGACCAAAGCAACAATGGCAAGATGCTATCAATGCAAACCCTAAGGGCTTTGCACCTGAACCCAGACAATGCACTCGATCAAACAAAGTGGCATTCGAAGATCTGAATAGCAGGCCCTACATCTGTGGGACAATGCTAAGAAGAAGAAGAAAAAGAAGAATATTTCTAATTCATCAAAAGTTCATTTGTTTTTAAATCATCTTTTGTTTTCAAATACATATTTTTATTTTTGAGTGTAATATATTCAAAAAGATAAATATCTCCAGGAAAAACTTACATTTTGAAAATATATGTATGCATTAAAAGTATTGCAATTTATATTATATATATAATATCATAAAAAGATTTGGAAAAATTCATAACATGTCTTAAGAGAGTCAAGATTAAGTCCCAGTAAATACATGTTCAAAAACAAATCATTCTTGAATTACATATAAAGTACAGTATATGCAAGTACGTAAATTTTTCAAAAGGTGCCATCCCTAAACATTACAAAAATGTTGCCTTCTCTTGCTTCATCGATTGGCATACTCTTTCAAAAATTTTAACAGTATTTTGAGTTGAAATTAAAGATTTTCTTTTATCCTTCCACTAAGTTACACATTATTGAGCTTATACTCAATAATGTATAACTAAATCCTTTGTGTAACTCCAAATATGCACATTTTCTAAAATTTAATCTTTGTTAAAACTGCAGGTAACTTGAGCCATTTTAGATACAGCAAATCCTCGCTTAACCTTGTTTTGTTATAATGATGTCAAGGAAAGATACAAGTTTTTTTTTATCATATAAAGATACATTTTAAGATAATTTTTAATCATTTAAAATTATTGTTAATGAATTTTCATTATATACAATAAAATTTATTACATGAGTGAAAAATAAATGTTGGAGTTACAAACACAATCCAATTAGAATAATATGAACTGAATTATATCTTTATATTATTTATTTAACCCATGGTAAAATTGGTTTTGTTATATGTCATTTTTGATTAACATTTCAGTTAAGTTATAATGACATAAGCAAACAAGTCTTCTTTTAACAACAGTGTTAAGGGAGGACTTGCTGTATATATTTTATAAGCATTTTTTTGTTTATTGTGTTTCCCTTATGATAAGGTATGAATATTTTCCACTTTTGAAACATTCTGTGTAAATATTAAACTAGTTAACACTAAACTTGATGATAAAAGGAACTATCAGAGGTTAACAATGTTAGATATAAGTTTATATCCAGTTTAAAAGTCAACACCAAATGATAACAGAATATTAATTATACTATGCATTTTCATTTAATGTAATGTATAAAATATGATTTCAGAATATTTAAGGTCTCTATTTTCTATAAAATGTTGTGTTTGTATTTATAATAAAAACTGTTTTAAAAATTTTTCTCAAAGGTAATTCATTTGAATTACAAGTATAAGCTTATACAAACACTCAAAACTCAATATATTAGTAATAAGTCAAATGATTACTGAATTAAATCAGACTACTTTTCTGTGATTATTTTTAATTAATTTCTAAATAATAAAGCCTCCTTCTAGTGATAAATTATTTAGAAATTAATTAAAAACAATTGTGGAAAAGTAGCCTGATTTAATCCAGTAGTCATTTGGCTTATAAGTAATAAGGATATAATTATTACATTTTGTAAATGTTGTGCCTCATTGAGACTTTACCTATGTATACAATAAAATAATAAATGTATTTAAATTAACAAGATAGAGAGAATCCAATTTTATTTAAAATACGTTGTTGTTTTAAAAATTACAATGACTTAAAGGACAGGTTGGACTAACTTTAAATTTGCAGGATGAATGCATAACAGTAATGTATCAAATGATTACATTTACAGTACTTATACATGTACAGTTTAGAACAGTACTCTATAAACTTTCTTGTATTGAGTATAAATGGAGATGTTTTAATCACAATTTACCCGAATTCAGTGGTTACAGTATTCTGGGTGATCAACCATGCCCCATTGCCAAAGAAGATTGCATTATGAACATCTTATATACTTTGAGTGAAACAGAATTATTGGAACAAGGGAAGGTAGACTTTCTTGCCGTCAAATTCCTTTTTGGGGGGAGCAAAATGCCACTACAGTGATGGCATCAGTGGACAGAGGAGGCCCATACTTGCTGCTGTTAGGAAACTAGGCTACAGATTCTTATGACTGCATAGAAAGTCTGCCAATGCCTGTACTATAGGCATTGGCAGACACAGTGACATCTAGGGCATTAGCACAGTGGTGGACATTGTCATCATGACTCGGACTTTGTCTTCCAGTACTGTTTTATGTCATCTGATTCAAAGAGAATAGTTCAGTTGTCATCCATTTCTTTAATTTTTTTTTTATATTAGCTATAGATGCCACAGGCTACAATTATGCTTACAATGCAGAGGTTGGCAGACTGATTGACAGCAGATGTACTTTATAATAAGTCATGATTCAATCTAATTCAGCACTTCAATGAGACATCATACTGACCCTATGCTCAGTGTCATGATTTTTAATGCCATAGTATTCAGTTTATGGTCTTGTTTCGTATTCATTTAGAATCTTAATGTTGACATTGTAAGAGATATCTTAGTAGCTGAAGTAGTAGCATTTTTTTTAGGTAATTTCTGATGTTTCTTTCAGTATGAGAATGCTCCTTCATATGTGGCATGAAATATCCCAAACTTCTTCCATGCACAACAGATGTGGCTTCTTGCTTTTTGCCAGATTTGGCTTTAATTCAACCTGTCTCGGTAGTGGTACTATGTACAAGGGCAGTTTTTTTCAACCTCCGATGGTCCATAAAATAAAGACAAGTGTAAATAACAAAATGAATTTATTGTACCTAACTTTTGTTAATAAATTAATTTTGTTATTTACACTTGTCTTTGTTTTATGGACCATCAGAGGTTGAAAAAACTGCCTATGTAGAATGGCCCATCAAGCCTCTCCATGTCATTACAAAGGAGCTCTGGATACACACAGAAACAGCCCTGTAGGACATGAGAGCAAATTTTGGACCTCTGTTCAATGTCTCAGCATATAGTCCATTATCTTTGCATATTGTACTGAGTTTTAAGCCAATAAGGCTCTTTACAACTCTGTAAATTTAATTTTGTAACATTAATCTGTGAAATAAATTTCACTCGAATAGCTAGAATCTTTTTTGGTGTTGCAATTTCTACAAACTACAGTGTGTTTATAATAATTAAATAAGTAGTATGAATTTGCAGTCTTTATAAAGAGTTTTGAAGTTATAGATTTGAATCTTTAATGTCATTTAATTAATAAAATTATTTTTCCATTGATGAAGACTAAATTTATGATTAAAGGTTAAATTTCTTTAAAGTGAATTTCAAACATTCTAATGTAATTAAATTTTACATAATAAGAAATGTAATATAGTGCAATTCCTTGTTTTAGTATAAAAACTATAAAAAAAGAATTTTAATTTTTATGATAAATTTGTTTTTAAATTGTTTTTCAAGGTAATCATTTTCTTTTTCAGAATGTTTCACCCACTACTCCAACTGCAAGCAACATTCCAACTGTGAACAAAATGATACTACACAACCAACCAGAATGTTCAAAAATAGATGACATTGAAACTCGACAGAAGTTAATATCATTATTGCAACAGGAAAAGGAGAAGTCACGGTATGTTTACAAAATATTTATTTACATCTTACATATATCCTGTTAATTCAATTAACTAATTGTTGGATTCATTAGGCTGATATTAAATCAATTTAACTAAATAATTTTGCCAAAAGGTAAGTTGTTAGGCTGTCATCTTATATTAAAATTAATAATTATTTAGTTGAATTGATTTAATATTAGCATAAATATAGTTTGATANGGTTTTCATGCATTTGCACACAAAAATAATGAGAAAGGCTTGAAAATATTAAAAATGAATGAGAAATTTTGAATATATACAGTATATATATATATATGTCTGAACAATTCATTTATAATTATACTAATTAGTCTACTAAATAAGACTAATTCTGAAGTAAATTTTTAATATTGAAGTATACAGATGAGAAGAATATACTGAACATGTAGACAGAGAAAAATCTTGTAAACAATATAAAGAAAGAAAATATACTTAAATAGACTATACTCTGTGGCATAAATACTTGATGCAAAGAATATTAGATAGTAAACTTTAGGGCAAATGACTAAGATACCTTCATAAATTTGCAAAACAGCTATTCAATTAAGTTATTCTAGTCTCAAGAGACACCAAAGATTTGCATAACTGGAGAGACATTTCAAACTGCTTTTTTCAGAGCTGTTATAAATCAGTTGGAAAGAATGACTGGTTAATGACATCTATTACAAATACAGATATACTCTATTAAAATCAATATCAGACTATATATTCTTAATGTTTAAAGTCAAAATTATTTTTTGAAGATTTAAATTCTTTATTTTTCTAACTTTGTTCTTGTGTATACACTGACAAAGGAACAGTTATGGGTAGCATTTGTTATATTAATAACCACATCTCAAATCATTATTTAGTTAAGAATAGTTATTAATCATTAACTATTTTTATGTTGTATTTTCTGTAACTTTGTTTAAAATCCTAAATGTTTTCAAAATTAAAAAAAATACTTCTAAAAGAAAAATTGCACAAGTAAAATATAAGTAAAATGTAGCTAATGTTCAAATCAAATTCATGTGAACTTTAACCAAAGTTCTAGAATCTTAAAATTTTCTTTAATATTAGATTGAACTTAATAATGGCTAATTAAATTAGCAAATTCAGAACAAGTATTTTCAGTTATCAATAACAAGTGCTTATTTGTTAAAGTTTTCTTATCCAGTTATTATTTATATTAATTTTTAGTAACCCCTTTATAAATATAATCATATCAAAAATTTCATATAAACTATCATCTCTAGATACGGAATCCTTTGTTTTGTTGATGTATTACTTTTTAAATATTTTTTTGAAAAACCTATTAAAAAAATAGGTTTTTAAAAAATTAAAAAATTAATTTTAAAATATAACTTATTAAATTGTAAATGTTGCTTCACTAGTCCATGATTCATTTTTTTCCTATAAAAATAATAGCAAAATATGTTATTTTATTTGTTATCAATTTAATTAGTTTATTATTATTTTGGATCCACTAATGAAAATTCTATCTTATATCAATTAAAATATTCTTAGAAGAAATTGGATGTAAGACAACAAGATACTATAAAACATCTTATTGACTTCCAGCAATGAGTTTAATACATTAGAAATGTTCTTGACCTATTCATTAGGTACCAACAGATTAGTTTTGTATTCAATCTGTTGATTTATTCAATTTCTGTTGGTTCTAACTGATGAAAACTGTGAATAGGTCAAAAACATTTCTAATGTATTAAACTCATTGATGGAAGTCAATAAGATGTTTTTTGGTATCTCATTATCTTGTATCAGACTTTTTCTGATACAAGATAGATGATCTGAATTACTGTATAACACACCAACAACTGCCATAAATCATCGGGCTATAATTTGCAATAAGTAATTCTAAATTACAAATGAACTTGGTGTTAAGTGCCATCTTATATTAAAATTAATAATTAAATAATTTAGATTAAACTGGAAGAAAAGAATCAGCCCGAAACAGAACACCAACAACTGCCATAAATCATCGGGCTATAATTTGCAATAAGTAATTCTAAATTACAAATGAACTTGGTGTAGGCTGTCATCTTATATTAAAATTAATAATTATTTAGTTGAATTGATTTAATATTAGCATAAATATAGTTTGATAAGTATGTTTTACGTTTGTTCTATTTAAATCTTCCGTTCATAATGAATGTTTCTCTTGTATTTGTTATGAACAGAGGATTTGAAGAAAACAAAAAAGATCATTTCTTAAGAAGAGCCTGATATTATGAGAATTTATAGTCTGATAAATTTAATGGTTAGGTATATGAATCAATATTAAAATCAAGCTTGTATTATATCAGGACTGTATCATCTATTAAATATCTGTATTTAATATTATAGATGATACAGTCAAACCTCTTTACTTCATCGTCTTATGTAGCTCCACTCTCGTACAGTACCAATCAATGCTCGTGAATGTATCTTGCTCATAAATATTAACAAGTAGTATCCTTTATTATTTCTGAATTACCAAATACAGGATTTTGCATTGCAAAAGACATTGTCATCACCAAATTATGTGGCTTTTAAACTCTAGACACTGACCTGCAAAATATTTAGTTAAATTAATCAAAGTAGTTCATAATTTTCCAAAAATTTATTTTATTCTCATCTGTCTTTCAAACAGTAGAATTAATTCAATATTATGAATTGTCGAAAGTAATGATTTTTAATGAGATTGAAGAGTTGGGAGCTCATTCAGAAAGGCATGTAAACCGTCTTTTTACATCACTTTCTGTTATTTTCTTTTGTGTTTTTGACATCAATCATAGTATCACTTCTAAACCTTTACATTTCCATTAAGATACAAATTCAACTAAATGAACGAATGTTTTCAATTCTCTACTAAGATCTGCTTCAGGTTCATAATCATTCCAACTATGGAATGCCAAGAATTTGAACATTTTTGGATACAAATTAATTTGAATAATTGTATACTATAGAGAGTTGTGACATCAATCATTAATTTCTGTATTTTTGATGAATTTAAGTTTTGTTCTTTTTTCCATTTTCCTCTATTTTCTAAATAAAGTTTGTATAGAAAATTACGCATGTTGAGATCAGCCAAGGACAAAGATCTTGATCCTTGCCACTTACGGGCTCCGATCGCAAGATCGGCTCTCGAAACTTTTTACAGGAGGGCTGTTAAATATTAAATAGGATATAGACGGCGAAGTCTTTATCCAACGTCAGGATTCCGTGACACCAGTTTGTCAATTAATCGATCCGTGGACAAACACGCGTGTGATTATTTTATAGATTTGATTCAGAGACTCTAGAGGAGACATTCTTTAACAAATAATCAAGAATAAATTTAATTAAACGTATACCAATGAAATAATACAAATATATGGTAGTAAGAGACAATGACTACAAATTACAACCTATCAGTCGAGAGATATATGGACTTATATTAAATTGATACACGATCGAGAGAGAGCTCACAAAATCGTTAGTAAACATACAACCTGTTTTATGTTGTCGTTCATCTTCTTCTTGTAGGCAAGGGGCACTTTAGAGATAAAGTTCTCAACCTTCATTCCATGGGAGATCGATATGTGCACAAAATCAAAGTGTATCTTCTCAGTGCTAACTCTGGATTTATTCTATGTGACTCGTCTAAGGGCGTTGGTCATCAGGAGAAATATGTATGGAGTCCTGCCTCTTCCAGGACTGTCGATGAACTCCCCGAATTCTGATAAATTTCCCCTATATCTCATGATTTACGACTAATCATCTGCCAGAAACTCTTTTATGTGAACGGATGAAAAGGGGAATCAAAGAGGGGTAGACAGTTCCCATCTGAGCTAGATTTTTAGCGGATAAGGGAAAAACAGAGGATGTTCTAACTTCCCTAGAAGGAAGTAGCATCTGTTAGCTATCTTTCCCACGTTGGAAAAAGTTAATTTCTCACCAAAATGAAATAATATTTTATGACAATATATTAACATTATTAATAAAATTACTATTTTAGACCCAGGGCCTTTCAGATCTCACACATGTTATATTTAAATGTTTCTGGACTATTTTCTAAAAGCCATTTATTGGTATTTAGTCAATATTACTACATCAGATTACAAAGTACTTTATGAATTGCAATTATATTAATTGTTAAATTTGTCATATATAATGTCAGTTTTGTAAATTTGGATTTTGGTTTTTAATATGGTTTTTCTTAAATATTAATTAAAACTTAATTGAAAACACAAATTTATATATTTGTTAGAATTGATTCAGTTGGTAAGAAACTTGAAATCTATTTTATTTATATTGTTTATCTTATACTATATATATATTTGAATATAAGCATACTACTAAATTTTATATTTCACAAATTTATTAAACTATATAATAATAAAAATATTTGTGTAATTTTGGAAAGATGTTAATGGAAGAATTATTCTAATGTAGAAATTTTTTTTGGTAAATGTTATTCACTTCATCCAAAATTGGACAGAATGTGTTGAAACCTAATAAAATTATAGCTTTATTTATTTTACAATGACTATTTTAAAATAAAAATTTGCTGTGAGAAATTTGATTAAATTAGTTAATTTTTTCTAATAATCTTTGTTTGGTTTTAAATGTTAATGTTTAACGTACATTATTTAAAACTAAAATTTAACTCTATTATAATGTAAAGAAGATATTTGGATTTACGAGAAAGGTTCAAAATCTAGAATTTTAATAAGTGTGACCCTAATAGTCTGGCAACATCTTGGAAATGGCTCACAAGTTACATCCTAACTGGTTACATGTCATTAGATGATGATGATGACTTTTTTTGATTAATTATTTCTTAATGTAAAATTTCCAAAATATATAATATTATTTATTTAATTTACTTATGATTTTTGTGTTAATTTCTGAGTTACTCTACCTGATTTAATAGTGACATTTTAATCATTATAACAACAATTTTTCTCAAGCTTGTACTTCCATAAAAGCAGAACATTCTTCACATTTCTGAAGATGAATTGTTAAGGCCAATTCACATTATTATGATTTTAGTGCATAATTTAGGTCATGACATCATTTTGAACAGTTGGAGAGCTGATAAGTTGTGGTTTTCTACATTGAAAAAATCAACTCAACTGAGCATTGAATTATACCATGTGACTTTTTGGGTGCCTGTGTGAACTGTTACTTGATTTATCTGTGGAAGAAATGCAGTGCCTATAAATCTGCTACTATAAAAGCTTTAAGCTCGAAAGTTTTTTGTATTTATTACTCCATTAAAAACAATATTTTCTTCTCTATACGTTTTTTTGTTTTATATTGATACTTATTGTTTGACTATTTATATTTATTCATATTATTGATTATTTATTTTCTGATCCTCACTTCCAGATCAATTAATTAACAAGACATAAGTGTGGCATAGCAAGCAACCTATATGATTATATCGCATTAATTAATTGATCTGGAAGAAAGTATCAGACTGAGATCAGGTGATATAATTGGCAAAACATCTATACAGTAAGAGAAGTTGTGAGTTTGAGCCTCACTCCAGATCAATCTTTTCCAGATTAGTCCAAATATTTGTATATTTCATTAGTCAAGTTCTAGCCCAAAAATTAATCTGGCTATATCATTTGGTTATTTCTAAGAGATTAATTACTAGAAAATCTATTATTATTATTCTGTTAGTTCTATTTTCAGGACAATAAAATTAATTCCATTCTAAAATATCAGTCAAATTTTATTCTAAAATTTTTAATAAAAGTAGGAAACGGAAATTATTAAAATGGCGCAGGGAGGAGTCCAACTTCAGACGATTTTCCTCTTGTAATCGAGGGAGAACGATTGGAAAAATAATTAAAAAGGCGAAAGAAAGTTAATCAGAATTAAATTTTAAGGATTGCGAGGGAGAAAAATTGATAATAAACTGGAAATATTAGGAAAATATTTATTTTGGCTCCACAGGGAAATCTTTTCGTGTAGGGAATAACGCTGGGATTTTCTGTCCGGGAGTTTGATAAAAATCGGGGAAGGCAGCAAAGTGTTAGCGTCAATTGATTCTTTGAAAGCAAGAAGACGTGACCAACTAAACTTTAATTGTAGTTTGTCGTTGAAGGATTCGCGCAAGAAAAAGAGTCAAAGATTCGTCCAACAGAAGAGATCTGGCGGCACAATGAGAAAAGATGGTCGGCCAAGCTCAGAAAATTAGGCTTAGATTACAGGCTATCCCGTCTAAAGTGCTTTCCGCTGACACATTGACAAATTTCCTTTCCCTTTGTCCTTCTCTCTTCTTTTCTTTTCCTACGCGGAAGGATGAATGGAAGGTTTCGAGACATTTGGATTCTCATTGATTTTCATTGTTCACCGACTATTGTTGAAAACGGTGTCGTGACGTCATCGAAGTCAGTCTTCAATTGCTTTTCAAGAGAGAAATGTGGTGCGCTGCGGGTGCATTGCGGTCCGAGTCAGTGCAATCATCCACCTTGCAAAACATGCGCTTCTTCCTTCCCTTCCTGCCTGTTCCCGCTCTCATCCATCCCTTTCCATCCCTAAATATTCTAATTATTCCACTTTTACTGGCCAATTTAAACAAGTTCCTCCTGTAATTTTCAAATATTCCGTCTCTAGTAGAATTCTTTACCAAAAAAAAAAAAGAAATTGAGGTAAACTTCATTTAATAGTAAAGCTTGAAACAAGTAGATTGTTAAATAAGTTCTCTTTATATGAACCCGAAAAGCTGTGTTTTATGTGAAATTTCGTAAAGTATATTTTTAAAAATATTTAATAATTAGAATAATTTAAACTTTCATCGTCAAATTAATATTTTATATACTGNCTAATGCCAATGTATCACCGCTGTTAGATAAAATGAGTTCTGGTCATCCAAAAGAAGTAATTGCAAAATATAAAAACTATGACAAGTATAAATATTCAAAATGTTCTCCAAAATATAAAAAATATAATGAAGTAGAAACTATGCAGCAAATAGAAGATAAAAGTTCTTCACCACCAAGAAGGTTTAGAAATGAAGAAAGCAGAATTACTAATGAAAATGAAGTGTTTGAATCAAGGAGGAAAAATGAAATATATTCTGAAAATAAATGTTTATATCCAGCTTCTAAGTAAGTATGTTTATTATTAGGTTGTTTGAAAAGTTTGTGCCTGTAAGGTCCTAATTTGTAGCTGGGCCTTTGACAACACAATTTTATTAGAATAATCTTTCCAAATAGAATTTGGATACAATTCAAATAATAGAATACAAAATTATCAGGTTACATGTCAACTAATAATTTTATATAAAAGTTGATGTATATAAAGTAATAAAATATAATCTTGAATATATATTTTGCATTTGAGGACTAAAGGCCTCACCTAATATTTTTAAATTAAATATTAAAATTTAATTGGATAAATACAACATTTTTGAGAATTTTGGCATATATTTTGTTTACCAATAGTACTCCTTAAAATATATTGCATATCTAAAATTTCTGTACAAAAAAATGACAGTAATAAGAGAATACAAAGTTGTAATAAATTACTACTTACCTACCTATCTATATATCAGTTTGTTAAGTATTAATATCAAATAGGCCATCATTATACTTTTGTTAGTGTTAGAAATGCAATTATAGGATGATAGGACTCATAAGTTTACTTGCCCCTTGTTGGTGATGACAAGTATCTAAGTGAATAATGGGCTACTTGCTACAAGCAGTCCATTTCTTATGTATGTATCGTAACTGACAGCATCAACTAGGTCTAAGTTATATTTGTGTTGACTTGCACTTATTGATGCCTGTATACAGTATGCTGCACACAAATCATTATTTTACTGACAAACAATATACAATGTATTTGCACAGCTCTAACATAGTGATCACTATGTTAGAGCTGTGCAAATACATTGTATATTGTTTGTCAGTAAAATAATGATTAGTGATCACCATGTTGTTTTTGATTTTCATATAAATATAGCCTTTGTGTGATTTAAAGCTTTAAAACAAAATAATAACCATTTTTTTTGTCAGTTTGGGAATCCTTGGGTATGGGTCTCAGGTGCCTTGTATGCCTGTGTGGTCTATATTGTTTCTTAGATTTATCAAATAACTAAAAATGACACTGATAAAATCTAGAGAGCTTTTGGATTAATTAAAAAATTAAATGTCATTCTGAAGATACCTTCAAAGTAATCAAAATTTTTTTTAATTTAAAAAATTCTGTAAGGAATGAAAAAGATGATAATCTGAGGAAGCAAGATTTGGAGTATGCAGCGAACTGTTTGAAATTTCTCAGTTAAACTCCTTTAACTTGGATATTTATTGCAGTGTATGGGTAATTAAATTATCCCTGTTCAACATTGTCTGAAGAGAAATTTAGTATTCCAAATGTAACTTAATCTGTTATGATGAAATTTCAGGACATGTGGAAGACATTTTTATAAAAAAAATATCAATACAAGTTGACCCCCCTATAACACTGTTGATAATTCCGTTTTATATGAATTCCATGTTGTACAAGTCACTTAGATTTTACAAATACGTGATCAGTTCACAGCCCAGCACACGTATTTGTAAAATCTAAGTGACTCGTACAACATGGAATTCATATAAAACGGAATTATCAACAGTGTTATAGGGGGTCGACTCTAACTTAAAAAAAACACTACCACTATGGCACTTTTAGTAAAAAATGATAACTAAAAAGAAATAGTTTCAATGGATTAAGTGATGTAGTGAATATTCTTAAAATATTCTAGGATATATTTTATTTTTTTTAAATTATTTATATTACAAAATATTTAACATTACAGTATACAGTATTTCATTATATTAAAATTTTATCATATTAATTGATAAACAGTGTATTTTTTATTGAAATCAAAGATAAAAATACACATAACTTGTATATAAATAGCATGCAGATGTCATTTAAACATTAAATATCAAGACCATCTGTTGATAATAAGCATTTATCAAGAATGATAGAAATTAATATAAATTCATAAACTGATTTTATCACTCATTTGAAAAGACTAACTTTCAGTTATTTTTCAAAAAATACAAAATATTAATTTAATAAAATATAACTTTTTAAAAAAAAAAAGATAGCACTGAACTTTGTTAAATGTAAAATGAAAAGTTTTAAAAAATTTTTAATATTTATCATTGTGATAAATTTGCTGAAAATGAGGTAAATGATCCTTGATAATGAAATGGTTCATTTCGTTCATCTTCAGAAACTTTCTCTGAAAATGAATAAAACTTCTATAATTTTAAATCTGAATTAAATTTCTGGTCACAATTCTACAACTTCTCACTTCATTTATTTTTATGTTATCTTAAGAAAATGTACATTTACAAAGCAATTGAAGTTATCAATACTAAAATATATGGAATGTTTATTATTCAGAATTATTTCTCAGCTATATGTCTTTAGGTAACACTGTATAATAATTATAAATATTGATTACATATATAATATAATAATAAATAAAGAAATATAATCAATTTTTTAATTAATTTATTTGTATCTTATGTTGTTTAATTTTTTTTAAAATTTATTTATTAGATCTGAAATGTCATCGTCGTCGTCATCTTCATTTCATAAGAATTCATTAGAGGAGCGTTTAAAACAATATTATAAAAAAGTTGGTGAAGATAATGAATTAAGGTATAATTTTTTTATTTGAAATTTTAGATTACTTAATACAATTTTTACTTTATAAATTATGATTAATATATTAAATAAAATTGTTTTTGTTGATATTATTGCTCAAATACACCAGAACTCAAATTAGCATTTCCCAAATATTTTTCGAACAAAACAATTTTCAAAATGTTTATTTATTTTTTTAGATTAATTTAATCTTATTAAATATTATGCTAAATCGATATTTTGGTGTAATTAACAAATATTGATATTGATATCAAATATTTAAGAAATAAAATTATTATCCATTGATATTTTTTCATTTTTAACTGAACTAATATTGAAGAAAGTATTTTTTGGTTTTCTAATTTATTATATTGTATTTATTATCTTCTTCCATTATATGAAAATAAATTAAATACTTCACACTGAAGAACCTTAAGAGTCCAGTAATAACACATTAATGGAAAACTAATGTTTTCAACCATACCCCAGTCTTCCTCAGGTTTTTAAAACCAGTAAGATTCAAACTTGGCATGCAAAGAACAATATTTACAAATTATTTTTTTTAAAAACCTATGGAATGTATGGAACAACGTGTTTAAAAATTATTTTAAAATCTATGGAACAATCTAAGCACATGTATACAACTTTTATCCATTTATGATACCATGGCAATAGAACTATATCAATATCATAAACAGTGAATAATATGATATAAATAAAGGTACAGAAAAAGGTTGCTGACTGCTCGTGTTGCCTGTTTTTCATAACAGTACCTCCATGCATAGGAAACCTTAATGGCATCATTTGTGTTAATACAGTTTCCATGTAAGCCGGCTTTGTAAATTTCTAATGTCTCAAGGTTTTTGAAGGTGTTCAATTCAATGTGACAATCTTACCAGTTTGGCTTTATGGAGGTCAGCCTGTATGTCCATTAAAGTGTTATTACTGGACTCTTAAGGTTCTCGAGTGTGAAGTATACATTCCAGTAATCCTGTAAGAAGTCGTTTTAATAAATTAAATATTTAAAAGTTGGAAAATATCAATTTTATAAATTTCATCCATAAATGCCATCCATCTTAAGTTTTGGACATGTGTATATATAAATGGGTGGATGGAGAAAAATTTTTCTGAAAAGGGATTGATACATGAAAAAAGTTGCAAACTCATAATTTACAGGTATTAAGATCTAATGATTTTTAATCATTCTAACATAATACACTTTTTCTTTCAAGCTTTAGATATTATTCAAGCTTTTTACCATTTTTGAATGTTTGGATACTTTACGTAAACACTGTTGGCATTTGAGAGTTGCATGTAGTTATGAGCCATATTTTAGCTGCTGTTTTCACATAATATCAAATTCTATTAATCTTGCATCAGTTAATGAATATGTACTATTCTTCAGCTTTTAATAATTTTTATATTTGTATTCATCAACTTTTTGCTCTGTACTTCAGCTACATTTAAAAGGCTGAACCAAAAATTCATAAAAACAAAGAACAAATTTTTGTATAACAATGATTTATTAACACGTTGACTGCCAACTATGAGATAACTCATAGTTTGCGTTATTGCCTAGGACACCAACTATGAGTTATCTTGTATTTTGTTTACTTGCCATATTTGTGCAGCTACAATGAAATTTGTGTAAATATGAATAGATAGCCTCAGGGGCGAGAACAAAAATCAAGGTTTGCTTACATGAACAGAACATCTAGCTATATAAAGCTGGAAAACCAGATTCATTCTTTCTTTCTGTCACCAAAAATGCCACTAGGGGCACCCCTAGCTATTATTTAAATTAACAATAAATTCAGTATATTATTATTTGATGCAGTTTTTGCATTTTTGGCTGCATTTTAGTAGGATATGCCATGAGAAATTCAGTATATTATTATTTGTATTTGTAATAGAAATTTATTAATAATAATTATTTTATTATTATTTATACCACGGAATGACACTGCTGCTGCTAGAACACCCACTAGGTGCATCCCAGGCTACTAGAATAGAAGAATTAGAAGTACGAAATAATCTAATAATCTTAATCTTTGTTGTTGTTTTTTGCCCGGGCAACACCTGGCTCATCTGCTGGTTTATTAATAGATGAACAGAAAATATAATCATAAAAGTTTATTCAAAAGCAAAAGAATATTTTTATTGTTTGTGATCATTTTTAAAACAACCTTCTACACAAAGGTCTGGCTTCTCTGGACAGATTGGACAGAAATAATGCGTTTCTCAGTGCTTTTTAGCTTTGGTACAAATTTGACATTGCTTTGTCGGATGCTGTTTTTTTTTTTTTTCTTTTTTTTTGGTAGGTGGGATTCTCTCTAAATAATGAAGCTCTTGCAATCTAATTTTTTTTCAAACTGGTTGAATCTCTTCTCCAATCAACACCTTGACGAATGCTTCTCTAAACTTTATAAGTTTTATTTTACAAGAAGTTGCTTTTCGAAAAAGTTTGTGTGCATTGTATATATATATACAATATATCTATAACATGTAATTCAACCTTTTTAGGCCATCTAATAGACTTTCATAGAGATATGTAGTATGATAGCATTTGATCTGATCAGTCAATGCCAGACATTCCTTGATTGTAATCTTGAATTATATTTGGTTTCATCAAAAGTTTTCCATTGTGATTGAACACCTACCATTTCAACAACATGCATGTTTGAAATGGTAAAGACTTCTTGTTTGTCTTTCCATTTACATACAGCAACAGGACCATTTCGTTGCCAAATAAACTCCCCCTTTTTCGGTTTTTGATTTACCACATCTCTGTGATTCCCCTTTCTGTTATTTTGTAGAGTTCCACACACACAAGATTTTCATGTAGTCAGTAATTTCGTAAGAGCAACAGAATTATAAAAATTATCCATGTATACTGTATATCCCTTATTGATATAGTCCTCAAGTAAGTGTAAGACATCAGTAGTGTGATCTAAATTACCGTAAATTCCCTCAGATTTTCTGCTGTAAATTGTTATTTTCATAACAACACCATCAGATTCACATAGTTCATACAGTTTGACACCATATCTGTGTTTTTTATTTTTTATGTACTGGCGGAAATGTAATCTTCCATGCCACAACATCATTGCTTCGTCTATACAAATATTTTTATCTGGCACACAGTTTTGGCACATAATATTATTGAAATGATTTAGAATAGGTCGTACCTTATATAATCTGTCAGAAAATGGTATTAAGTTATCAACTAAGTGAAAATAATGTAGTAACAATTGGAATTTATTTTGACTCATACGTGATCGCCAAAACATTATATTATACAATTTGTTTGTACTCCAGTAAGGTTCTATTGAAGGAAAATAACAAAGGGCCCATTTGTAATACTAGTCCAATAAAAACTTTCATTTCTGCAGCACTGATGTCTTTCCCCCGTGATACCCTTTTAGATTTTTCTATTTGTTTATGTTTTGCAATATCTTGCACAGCATATAAATTTGTTTGTTCAACCAGTAATGCAAGAAATTCTTCCAAAAAAAATAAGTCCACCAGCGTTTGCACTGTAAGATTTGTTGTATCCAATTTCAAACCAATATTTTCTTGGAAAATAAATACTTCAGGATTTTGTTGATTTTCTGTCCACAAATTATCATTTGGATTTGATGTGGTTGCTTGAGAAGCATCGTGATTGCCTTCAGGTTCAAGAATAGTCTCATCTTCAGGTTCAGAGATGACTTCATCATCACTGTCCTCACTTGAATCCTCAGAAGGTACATAATCACTACTGTTGTTACCATCCTCACCAAAAATCTTGTTGGATTCTGGATCACTTAGATTACCATAGTACTCAAGTTGTTTTTCAGTCAGTGGTCTTTTCTTATCCATATTGGGGTATTTATAATTTAATTATAAAAATAATTATAAAACAACACACACAAGAAAGACGTAAATGTGATGCACTCGACTCTATATCTGATTTATTACTAATGAATTTAGATGCATATCTCTGACTCGGCTGTAACAAAGCAACAGGTTGTGAATCATGTCTGTGCATGAATTAACACTTAGTTGGCTTTAGCAAAGAGCTTTCTGTTACATAAGCCAGCTATGAGATAATTCACAAGATCTTTTTTTTTAAAAAAAAAAAACATTCTATATTATTGATGATTACTATGTACTATAATTAGAGCTTTTAATAATATAATATGATTAAATGAAATTGGTTTTTTACACCAGAATCTTGAAAAATACTATGGGAGTCAACGTGTTAAAATGTATTTTAAAAATTTAATGTAAAAGCCAGCGCAACAATTGGATATTTTTAAAATTTATGCTTTAATTATAAGTAAATTTAATATTTTTTGTTTGTTTTCAATACTATTTTAATCAGGGCTGTGGAGTCGCGTAAAAATCTACTGACTCCGACTCCGACTTTTCCTTACCATCCGACTCCGACCAGGGGCGGACTTGTTACCGAAAGAAACCCAGAAATTCTAATGTCATCACATGACTTCAGAATAAAAGATTCAATAAATAGAGTTCTAATAAAGATAGAGCGTAGAAACTTTTTATTCCAAAGCTAAAAGACTTCTCTAAGTAATATATAAATATGTATTCAATAATTTTTACTTTTCCTTATATATAACAGAGGAAAAGTGTAGTGCTCGCTCAAAAAATGGCCCCTCCCAAATTCTTACCTTTTTGGACTCAGGACACCTTGAAATTTCAAGATATGCAAAAGATTTGAGGTTTTTTCTATGTGTGTGGATGTTAGACTATGTGGAGGGGCATGATTTTGTTCATCCTGTTTGAAGCCTAATAATTTCTGTGGTCAGAGTGGTCAGAATTGGAGTCAGATGGTTTAACACAGGAGTTAGTTATTAAGCGTTAAAGTGGTTGAACTAAATCGTGTCCCTGTATACATTCTAACATCTTAGGCGAGAACATCTTAATGGGTTTTACTGTACTATTATAAAATGGCTAAAAAGCTTACTTTGAGGGTAGAGACGAGTTTTATTTTATTTTTTTTTTTTAATTTTGAATGCTTATAATGAGTAAAATATTCATTAAGAGATATGACCCATGACCACTTTTAGGTCTTCACCCTGTCGACCTTTAATTAAGAACCAAAATTTAATAGTATTAAATAACGCCCCTTTATACGCAATCCACAGTGCCACATTTTGTTTCTTAAACTTTACCCATTCTGAGATATTGTTTAATATCTCAGAACAGAAAATAAAGAAATTAAACAAATTAGACGTTAACATACATGTGTGTGCGAATTTTTCCCCTTTTATTGACTTTTTGAGGGGTTCGAGAGGTCTCCAAACATGTAGATTTGCAAAAAAAAAAAAAACTTGGAGGGTCAAATTTGACATGATTTCAATACTTTTTCGTTTTATATACATAAGTAAAAAGGAGTCGGAGTCAGCAGATTTTTTTATGACTCAGACTTCGGCTAAAACACCAAAACTCCACGACTCTGACTCTGACTCCACAGCCCTGATTTTAATACAGTAGAGCGCCATTTATCTGAAAGCCGGTTAACCAAAAGCGTTCCAGTCGGCAAATTTAAATTTCCGCTAGTGCTGTGGCGCTGCAACCTTTGGCTATGTCTTGGGCTACTCCAATATTTTTTGTTGGTGTGTGTGTTTTAACTGGCAGCACTGGCACTTTTGTGTGGTGTTTTTCTGAGTACTGTGGGTCGTGTTGAATCGAACGTTTTTGATACAGTACTAGATCAACTTCTAAAGTATATATTTTTTGGTTTTTATATTTTTCAATATATTTATTTTGTTTGTACAAAATAAAGAAATAATTTTTAACGCTACAATAGCCATGATTATTATTATAAAAATTTTCATTAGGCTTAACATCAACGAAAATTCAACTCAAAGTGACACGCAATGGATAAAAATTTCAACATGGGATAGGTTAATATATTTTTTCATACATAATCGGTTATCTGAACAACCTCAGTCCCCAATTGATTCAGATAAATGACACTCTACTATAATATCATTAAAAGTAAATTCACAATAATTATATTTCCTATAAAGTTGCTTTGAAAAATCTTAACATTAAAAAAAAACTATAATTTTTTTTTAACATTTAAGATTTGTCAAAGCATGTTTTTTAATTGTTAAATGATTTTGTTTATATCAGTGGCATAGCATAGTGGGGGTGGCAGGGACAGCCCGCCCAGGATGGCACTTTTAGAGGGCAGCAAAATTTCACAATAAATAATAATAATATCTTGTAGAAATTTGAATGATTTCATTTCATATTTTTGTCGCACCTATGATTCGGACATTGAAATGAGCACGGGATTTTTCATTACTTATTCTGTGACGAAACTGAATTTTAGTCTTTAAATTGAGATACCTAAATAAGGGGGTGGCAAAATTTTCCTCCACCCTGGGCAACTGACACCCACGCTACGCCGCTGGTTTATATAAATAAAATATGAAATTATTTAAATCTTTCTTTTTAATATAGTAAAGAATCAACATCATTGTCATTCTCATCGTCATCGTCTTCTTCTTCTTCATCGACTTCATCTAAAGAAAAATGTTCTAATGAAACTTATCCTAGAAATGAAAATAAGACTGATAAAGAATTATCAAAACTAGTGTATGTTATGAGGAATGAAGCAATGCCATTATTTAATCCTTCATCTTTATCAAATAGAGATATAAAAGCCTATTTAGAGAAGAAGAAGGATGATATTCACGTCATACAGAATATTAAAAAAGAAGCATCTAAATCAAAAAATGGAGAACAAAGCCCAGTAAGATGGTTTTCGCAGTCGCCAGAAAGTACAGAAATCACAAGCAAAAAAAGAAAGCAAGTGTCTCACTCTAATGATTCGGCTTATCACGATGACGCTTATCATAAAAATGACAATTTATGTGATGATGGTGAGTCTTCAGATCATAGTTCAAATTCTTCTGAAAACAGTACAAAGAAACCCAGAACTGAAACAAAGAAAGAGAATTTTAAATATGATAAAAGTAAGTCAAGTTCACATGAATATTACGAACATTCGTCCTCTAGACATAATTTTCCTCCAAAGTCTCGTCATTTTCATGAAAAAGAAAAGTCACAGCACTTTCATTCGGCTTATCACGATGACGTTTATCATAAAAATAATGATTTAAGTAATGATGATGAATCTTCAAATCATAGTTCAAATTTGTCAGAAAAGAGTGCAAAGAAATCCAGAACTGAAACAAAGAAAGAGAATTTTAAATACGATAAAAGTAAGTCAGCTTCTCATGAATATTATGAACATTCATCCTTTAGACATAGTTTTCCTCCAAAGTCTCGTCATTTTCATGAAAAAGAAAAGTCACATCATTTTCATTTTTATGAAAAAGAAAGGTCATATGCACATTCTTATGAGAAAGAGAAGTTTTACAAATATAAAAAGTCAAAATCACCACCTCCAGAAGATTATAAACATGATAAATATTTTAAACCTCATTATCATTATAGTAAAAATTTCAGAAATTCTAAACATAAAATACACAAAGAAAATTACTCTAAAGTACCAAGAAAAGACAAAGTCGTGATTAGTAGAGCACCAGATTTAGATGCTTTGAAAAGAATTCAAGAAGCAGCTCAAATGGCAAAAAAGAAGGATTTTAACAAATCAGCTTTTTCAAAATCTTACAGTTTTGATTCTTTGGGGAATAATTCAGAAGAAAAGCACGCTCTAAAAGCTGCCATGGCTGCCGCGCAAAAAATAAACGAGGTACTGCAGGCAGAACCAAGCACGCCCCCAGAAATCAAAGAAGATTCCACAAAAGAATATTTGGTAATGCCAGCTAAACAAAGAGAAACATTACAACAAATGGAAATGTTTCTAGAAAAATTAAAAGCTCAGAAAAAAGCAGAATTAAGTGCTCAAGCTAAAGACTAGACTTTTTGTAACACACGAAAAAGATTTTCAGGTTTATATTAATTAAAGACTGAAATGTTTTATCTACATTGTGAATAACATTGTAAAGACATAAATGAAATTTCATACAGTTTTTTTCAAACTGTATATTTAAAATGTGATAAAAATATTTGCTATTACGTCTATATGTATATAATAATAATAATAAATGTCTTTATTCAAAATAAAAACTATAAAATAAAAATAATTAATTATTTTTATTTTTGTACTTACTCAATGACGATTTTTGTTAATTTCTTATCTGTACTATATTTGTTAAGAAATTATAAATAGTATTTAATTAAATATACAAATATAATCAAATTTTTACAAAACAGCATAATGTAATTTATAAAAGAATGTAGAGATTACTTTACATACAATTTGCACATAAATAAAATCAGTATAATGTAGTGTGTATATTATATTAGTTCTCAAAGTTATCAATCTGCAGATCAATTAAACCAAATTGCTTATGCCCCTTAGGTGATCCTTGATTAATCTATGATTTGGTTTACTTCTTATCCTGTAAATATTACTTTAATGATGGCTCACATGCTAAAATATTCTGTTCATATGGGAACCTAATGTAAGAGTTATGTAATGTGTGAACTCTGACCAAACATAGAATTTCATTTTGGAAAAATGACTAGAACAGTTTGGGGGCCATCTGACACACACACACGTACATACACACACCATAAATATAACATACAAATTTCAATGTTTACTTTAATACCCATAAAATAGAAAACCATTTACTGTACTTTATTTTAATGCCCATATATAAAATGTATTATGGGGAACTACCATGTAATGCAACAAAAAATTGTGATTAGTACTCATACAAAATTCAAATTTTGTCATCCAGAGGTATATACATTTTCTTCTTCAACTTCTTCTTCAAGGTTTAAATTTGCATAACATTGTCTGATAATGTGTCTCTCAGTAACACGATTTCCTATAATATGGAACGTATCTCCTGCATTGTACAGGACTCCACTGTGTTATATTTATAATAATCAAATATTCTTCAAATATCAAGCATGCATAGTCAATTTATGTATAGTTGAATAACATTAGAAAGATATTTATTCAATAAATATATCCAATAAATATTCAATATACATAATATATTTTATTGTAAATTGAACGAATCTGCAAATATTGATTTGAATAACATCAAACACTTTAGATTCTTTACATAAATGTTAATTATCAATTATTATTATACTACTATAATTGGCAAAAGTACAGATTCTTCCAAAAAGAATGGTACTTTTTAATTATAATTAAGTTAATTATTGATAGAACATTTAATGTACTGTACAGTACATTAAAACATTAGAGAACTGTCCAAGTTTCACATTTGCCCATTACAATTTCTCAATATGTACACCATGTTAATGGCATGCATCCAACCGATATTCAAATTCTATGCTCGCTACAACATACCTTTGCCACTCGACCCACAGCAGCCACGATTCTACAACTCCTGCAGATTACTCACATTCCACAATGATTGATTTTCACTTTGCAAACTGCAGAGCACAAAACATCTCTATTGTGGAGTCACCACTTTAAGGTGCTTCATAGTATTAGTAGACAACAAGACATTTGAATGCAGATGGGAGACAAAACTTGGATGGTTACTCTATTGCTGAAAAGTTTTTCTAAAAATAAAGGTTTTATTTTTTTTTTTAAATCAACAATTTTTTGTTTATTATGTAATGCATAACCCTGTCAACGTATGAAATAAATAAATGAAGTCAATAAAATAATTTCTGGTTTAAACTCAATGTCTGCAACTATTTTTAAAGTATGATGAACGAAAAAGGTTTTTTGTCATTGTTGAGAAAGAAAATTAATGAGAAGTTAATATCCAATAAATAAGCAACGAAAGGAATGTTTTAATTCCATACTACCAAAATTTCAGCCAACATATGATATTAATGTAAGTTTTAATTCATATTATATGTTTGAGAACATTGAACATAAATTATACAGGAACAACAGGACCTATTCGAACAATAATGAAATTAAAAGGAAACTATAATACAGAAGTTAGTTATTACTATTTGCAAGGCACACCGGTGCCGATGTTCAGACACTGATAGTTGGTTGCAGGTTTGTGCCAACCAACAGATGACAATGTGGAATTTTCGGATTTCTTTAGTGTGTCTAACGCCCAAATAGGAGCCAGTTTCCCATAGAAAGTCCTCCTGGGAAGCATCCTTCCTTGGTGGATTGCCTCCATGTTGCTTTGCTATATCCCATCAAATGAAATCAAATCAAAGCCATTATTTGCAGATCCTGATTCTATAAATAATGGATTAAAGACTTTCAGAACATATACAATGAATATTCTAAGTTCATCATTATTTAGAATTTTTGAAATGAGTTAAAAAACAAATTAATTTTTTACATTTAGATTTACAAAATTCTTGAATTATTTTTTCTTTTGAATAATTTTACTAATATTTAACAAATAAATATCATACAGAGAGATATCCTTTCTACTCTAAAATATGAAAATAATATATTTAAATATCCTAATAAAATTCATGTATATGAATTAAATGCATTCAAACCAAATATACTGGTGAGAGGAAAATAATCAGGCAAACTATCTAAGCCTAAGGAGCTTACAGTGCCCGTAAAAAAGTAATAAATCATATCACCTTTCGAAATTTCATGATATAAATAAAATAAATGAGATTTTTGTTACATATATGGTACATTCTGTTAAGTCTTGTATATCTAAGGGTTAATTTTGGGAACAATCAGAAGTCTAATGGTTCCAGACCTGAGTTGTATAAGGAGAATGTAGAATAATCAGTAACTTCAGCTTCTGTGCATTTTCCGCTTTCTTACTGTTGCAGTTTTACATTATCATGGTGCAAGAAAAAGACACTTTTTTGGACTTACTCTGCAAATATAGCAAGTTTGTGCTTATAAAATTTCACAATAAGTCACCAAACTTCCTGTTTCTCTCTTCACATGTAACTGTCCAATGTTAAAGTTCATTCACAAATTACTGCTTAATACAGAATAAAGAAAATGAATCTGACTTTAAACTTGACTGTTATACAGCAATGCAACACAACAAACCAAAACTTTGCACAGACTATTTGTGGCTAATGTTGACCATCAAGTTTCTGTCCCTGCACTTCATAGAAATCTGTGGTACACCTTATTTATCAATCAACCCTCATGTTAGGATCCAGCTTATCTCTCATTCATCAGTTGCCTTACAGATTCTCTTGGAAAAAATTCTGAATAAATAAATAATCTACAGGATGTCCAAAAAGTTACTGTGCAATGGAAGAAGTTTAAGTAAAGTTTTATTTACAATATTGCAGTTTCTCTTATAGCAAATGCTGGAAATGTCCCCCAGAGGCTCCAAAAACCAGGGTAGTGAGGTCCAGTGACCTAGCAGACCAGATTCCATGGAAGTTTATGTAGTCAAAAACCAGAACATCTGTCAGCAATTACTAATGCCATCTAATGCAGAACTTACAACTTACAGGTTTTGTATGCAATGCTGTACATATAACTTTAAGGTCATTACAAATTCCTCACTGCACAGTTACTTTTTGAACACCCTGTACAATACTTCTAATTTCAACATCATATTACCATTTTAACAGAAATAAAATGTGTAATTTTATAATATGCAAGCTTACAGTTAAGTGTTTCAAAAAGCATGTATATGCACAATATGCCAATTTTCAAAAATTGAGAATGGAATAGTTAAGTTTTTTAATGTAAATATTAAAAAATATGTATGCATTATGAGCATAAAATTTCACATGTATGGTAATTATAAAGTATTATATATTCTGTAAAAATAAAGATTAACTTTTAAAATGCAAATATTTTAATTTTATATACTCACAATAGCCAAACTGCATGTTGCTCTCCTGGACCTTACTATGGTTTCCATTTATTATAGACTTTTAGCTATATATATATATACATATATATATATATATAACCGTTCTAATAGAGGATATTATATAATATTTCTCTTGCATATTTCTAATAGGTGATATATGCCCCTATTGTGACAAAGTTCAGCCACCCACTATGATAAAAATGATTATTCTTTAAAAATATATTTGGCAACCAAAAAAATAATCAAAATTTCTTCAGATTAATTCATAATTAACATAAAAATTATATTAATAAGGAAAATAAAAGTAATGTTTCATTAGTTTAATATTACATATTGTATACATATTACATATTTTATTTAACAGTTTTAAGTTGAACTTTACAATAATCTTTGATATTTTCACAAATAATCTATTTTAATGAAATAAAAGTATCAAAAATACAGTATACTATAAGCAGAAATGTATATTAAACAGATATTTTCATTGTTATGTAGTTTAATAAATTTTATTTATAAATAGATTATCAATGATTGCAAATATTGATTTGCTTAACATTCTTACATTAAAATATATTTTTCTAATATACTACTTTGATCCCAAGCAAGTGCATCTTTAACTATTCTACTAGATAATGTTATAAATTTTGTGATTATCAACAAAAAAACTAGTTTTAATTCATTGATTTGTGTCTGTCCATTAATTATGTGTACAGTTTAAGAGAAAGGGGTTGCAAAAAGTATGGCATTGTACACAATGGGGTGGAAGTTGGTCCTCATTATTTATGTGGACTTTTTTATAGTATTGGTGACATACAAATTCATTGTAAGCCTACTTATTAGTTGTGTAAAGTATTAGAAAACGCTTGCAGTACTTTTTTTTCATTTATTCATTGTCAAGAGATATGTGAACACATAATTAATGGGGGAGGGTTGCCAAAAGTACATCATTGTATACAACAGGAAAGGAGGGGATTAAAAAAGGCTTAAAAACTATAATTACCAGATGGCCCTTAAAATATTAAAATTGGCAAGATGTATTACTATGAGATTTATAAACTTGAGTTTTAAACAAAAAACTAAAATAAACTGATCAAGTACAAATAGAGTAAATTATAATACCTATGATAATATGAGATAAATTGCTAGGTTAATTAATAATGCATAATCAAAAAAATGATGAACATTGTAGTGTATAAACTAGCAGTGCACCAACTTAAGTGTTACCTTGGACTGCTTCAGATTAAATTTTTAAATGGATTGCAGTATTACAGGTAAAATGCATTTGTATAGACATTTAACAAACATTTGTGTGCAAATCCAACAAAACTATATTAAACTTGAATATCTCATAATTTCTTTTTCTTTTATTGCTCTATGAGCAATTGCCCGAGGTGTATTCCATCATACTTAAATACATTACATGGATTTAATTTAAAATGATGCTAAGAATTTATGACTATTCACCTAGGCCTATTATAACAAAAATATTTTTACCAAAATCAGGTGATTGCCTACATTGAAACATTTAGCAGAGCTCATGGCCTGTGGACCATATATTGTGCATCTAATATACAGATTTGAGTGCTACTATTATTTTATATTGTGGTAACACTATGAGACAGTTATTATCTAAATTTAATTAATTATAATTTGAAAAAGAATAAAATCCAAACAATTAATCTATAAGTTATACATTAATGAATTAATAAATTTTTAAACCAAACAAATTTAAACTATAATTTTAAAACTTTTTAATATCAAAAATTTATAATAATCTTATAATAATTAAGATTATAATAAAAAGGTGGGATTGTTTACAAAAAGAATAATTTTGTGTTAAATATTTATCAGAAATTTTATGAAAAAAATAAATCTGTCATCTAATAAATTTGATAAATCTATGAACAGGATATTTATTATATGAGTAATCAGGAAGCCTGTGATTGAAAGAACATTGCCAAATCTTAAAATGGCAACTGATCTTTTATAAATAGAAAGTTTAAGATTTAGATTATAGAAAAATATATTTTATCCATTACTTATAATTATTATTATTGTATTCTATATACAGTATAATAATTAATTTCATGAAAATGCTTATTCTAATAATACATTATAGATTTAAAAGTTTTATTAAACTACCATATTCTTAGTGCTAAAAATGTAAAAAATATATAATTTATCTAAAAGTTTTTAGATCAAAATTGTTTTTATTAATAACTTAGTCACAGAGATCTTAACAATATCAAGATTGCTTTCAAAGTGATTAGTTGTTTCCAATAAGTCACTTGCATTGCTTTTGTTTTTGTTCATTCAGAACTTAATTACACAATTCTATGCTATCTCAAGACTAGAATTTTTACATTTAAATAGACTAAATGCATCTTGTGTAAATTCTACATCTAAGTAAAATATTATAGTTTAATCACTAAATCAAAATAGAATTTAATAATTTGTAAATATCCTTGTATATTCAAATATTTTATTCTCTTAAATACAGTTAAAACTATATGCTATTCAAATTATATGGGGAAAATAATTCATTCAAATAATAAACTACTATATTTTCTAAATAATAAATATGTTTTTTTTTTTTTTACTTTAATGTTATTATAACTAAGTTTTTAACTTTATTCTGATAGGAATTCTTTTCCTACTTAAATTCTTAGAACATATAACAAGTTGTAAATATATTACTTTTCCTTCCTTGTTATGACAATGCCAACATTCCTTTGACATTGAAACATTAAATAATTACATACTTAAAACTATTCAAGATTTTTTTACTATTTATTTACAGAAACTTTATAGTAAATATTTTTTTTTTATCTTGACATCTTATGAATACATAATATATTTACTTTATCGTCAATGGTCTTAGTGGCAACTTGTATTATACATATCGGTTTAAAAATAGATATTTCAATTTGATTTACAGAGCTTGGCTTGCTGAACTCTGACTGACATAAATAACAGCACCTGCAAAATTCACACCTGCAGCAAGTACAAATACCGGAAACCACCTCCCGTGTGATTGAGTAACTAATTCGGCAGTCAGTGGACCACACAATATACCAGGAATAGTCGCTAGGGTATTCGAAACTGCAAAAGTAATCCCTGCATGATTTGGTGCTACGTCCGCATGATTACTGAGATGTCCGGCTGCATTACAAGCACACAGGCCCATCGATATTGATACAAAAATAACAGCAGCCATTAGACTGTTAACAGTGCAAAAACATAACAGAGAAATTGCTGGACCTATTAGGCCAATGCTAGTCATCAGTCTTCTAACTGATAACACAGTCCACTTTCTGACTATTAAGGAATCTGCAAAGTGGCCAGCCACCACTCCACACAGCGAATTAATGACATACGGCATGGCCGTCAGACTGATCGCTTCTTTATCGGCACCGAGATTACGAGCCAAGTAAGTAGGCAACCATTGCATTATGATGTAGTTAGACCAATTCATGGCAAAATGAGCGATGTAAATAGCCCACAGAGGCCAATGATTGATGAATTCCGTCCACCTCACATTTACGTTAACGACTTTAGGATATACAAGTGGAAGTTCTTGCTCTTCAGAATCGGGTATTTCCGAGTACACTATCATCCACAGAAACACCCAGGCTATACCCATGGATCCAAAGGAATAAAACATCCACGGCCATGGCAGATGAGGGCAGACGAGTGCAGATATCGTCTGTCCTATGGTTCCCGAAGCCACCAGATAACCGAAAGCCCTTGATCTCTCTTCCACCGGCACCGTGTGGGCAAATATGTGAAATATGGTGGGGAGGCCTAAACCTTCGCCCAGACCGAGAACGACTCTGCAAGTTATGAGAAGAGGCAAGGAAGAACCGACGAGGGGAGTTATAACGGTAGACACGGACCACAGAAACACGGCACTGGTCATCACGGCTTTTCCACCAAACTTGGAAGCAGCACTGGCACCGATAATCTGACTGGTGATGTATCCGAAAGCAAAGGCGCTCAATATCCAACCCTGCCAGTGTAGATTCCATTTATAATCGTCAGTCATAGGAATAATAGCAATAGGCATAATAATCCTATCGGCGGCATTGATGAAATTCGCCATCGAACACAAAGCGATGGTCCTGGACGTCTTCACCAACATGACGAAACTTTTTACGTAATCCTAACCGATCCCATTTAATTTCCTACCGACGGCACGACAAAATACGACCACAAAACGATATTCTTCCATAAAAAAACGATCACGTTTCGTGCATTAATTCTTACGAAATCGACGATTTTCTTCCCACAAACAGCTGTTTACGTTGCATCCCACTAACGCGCATGCCCGTAATCTCGAAGCGCGCCCGATAATCTCCAACCCGTGTCGTTTGGGGTTTAGGGTAATATCGGTGTTGACGAAGAATTATGGTAAGTGTGGCTTGCTGCGTTTTTACTTAAAGATAATTAAAGAAATTCCGACACATTTAAAGCGTTTCTTTACGCCTTTAGCACAAGTTAAAGTCATCGCAGAAGGAGAAAGTGAAACAATTCGTCACTTTCACTCGAACTGGAGAGAAGACTGCAATTTACTGTCTTACCAAACACGACTGGAAGTTAGACGTTGCTTCTGATAATTATTTTCAGAATCCAGAATATTATTTTAAAGAACATAAAGCGTCGGTGGATAAGAAAAGACTAGAGCAACTCTATATCAAGTACAGAGGTGAGAATGAATGGAAGTCATCGCCTAATACCTCGACAGTTATCTATAAATTCACACCTAATCGACAATTATTGCGGTTATTTAACTCAAATTCTCTATTTTCATTCGTTTTAACGACGTGTTTACGCGTATACAGCATGTATTGTGCGATGTATTGTGTTTGTGTGTGTTACACACAATACGTCACAATACCTCGAAATTTACATTGATTAATTACGCTTTATACATTACACTCGCTATAATTATTATTATTAATCTAAATGATTTATTTATTTATTTGCTTTGTTTGAATTGGTTTTTAATGTATTGAAATTGTGTTATATCAAAGGTGTATTTTTGTTGAAGATTTCGAAATTACTGGCATGCTGTAAATATTTTCGGTTAAATAAATATTATTCGTGTTTTAATCTTTAGTAAAAGAAGGGAGGACTTTAAATATTTGCATTATTTTACTTAATCAATAAATGTTCCAGGTGTTAATAGTTGTAAGCTTTTTTTTCTTTTTTCTGTAGGAGTTCCAACTTTTTTTTTGTAATTTTTATTGGAAAATTTGTTGAAATTTTTATTTTTTTGATGAAAATTCAGTTTTATTCAGAAATTTTCCTTTTATAATATTAATGATTTAGTTATTATTTGATTTTATTGAGTTTGTTTGAATATAATAAACTTTTTAAATAGACTTATTATGCTTTATTATAATCGTATATTTAATGATTTGCAATTGCAATTGCGATTTCATTAAATATACGATACGGGTTTTAATTTTTATGATGTCGGGAGTGTTATTGCTCGTCGTGAATGAAAATTAATTAATATTTTAAAATGTATTGAAGTTAAAAAAATAGTAAAATTATGCAATTGTAGATTACATAGAAAAACTTATTGCATTACTTGATTCATTGTATTAAAATTGAATCTTTCAGTATGGAAGAAAGACACAAATTCATAATAATAATTCTTTATTTATTCAGTTACTGTATTTCTAGTCATAAATAAAAGTTATTCACAAATAATTACTGAAAAATTATTAAGAAGTTACTTTAAGTTACAAGAAATATGTTAGAAATTACTTTTAGAATTATTGCAAATATCTATGTAATGCAAAGAAAAGGATATTTCAAAGGCAGCAAGAAATGCTCCAGATTTTACAATTATTATTTTTTAAACAAATCTGACTGTCTTTATTTAAATTAATGAAAAATTTATTTTCATTTAACAGTCAAAGAGTTTAAGTATATTTATATGTATTTGGCTAATAAATATGTATTTATTCTGATAATGCTATATTGCAGTTCATTCTCGAGTAATGTCAGATTTATATTGTAGGAATTTTATTATTTGAGTCATATTTTCATCAAATATATTTGATTAATGATAAACAGTTGTATAACTGATAATGGAAGAAAGATAATTGTTTATATATGTCATATTAGATTTGACTGACTAAAGATAACGTAAATAATTTGCAAACTATATTAAAGTTTAGATTATATAGTATAGTGCTATATATAAATTAATCAGTCTTTGAAATAGTCCAAGTCTTCTTGATTATTTATATGCATGTTTTTAATCAATAGATTGATTTTGTGTGAAGTATTCATTATTTTCTGATCTTTAAGATATTTTTTATGATAAACTAAACAATTATTACAGAATTATAACCATGTTTTGCTATCCAAACCTAATTCATTCCTAAAAACAGTTAATGTTGAAATTTGGAAATTTTGAAGTTTTTCCTTTAATTTTTATGGAAAACTTTTAACTCATTTCTGGTTGATTTCAATAATCCATATCAATTTCCCCAAATGGCCTTAAAACACTGCAGAAAACCAATGTATTTTGTATCATTCCATGATTTTAGCATGTCATTAAATATTACAAACTCCACTTAACTTAGTGACAAACTAAATGAAATTGTTAATGGATATGTTTATAAGCAGTAATGCAACAAATAAGTTATATTATCTGTGTTCAGAATAGTATGTAGTCTACTACATATTAAGAAAATGCAGTTCATAATGAAAATGTTCTGTTTTTAAACAGTAATATTTTAATATAAAATGTACAGTACCATTACTACAACAACAACAGCGAAAATAAACAAGCCAGATAGGGAATTATATATAATGAAGTATTGAGAATAAACTCAAAAGATTACTGATTTTTACAAAAATTTCGGTATAAACTACACAACTATGGTGGATCAAGGACACAGAACTACTAAAACAAATGAAAATAGATGGGAGGAGTAAGTCACTTACTACTTTCCACTTTTATTAGTGCAAATTTATGTGTTTTAATTTGTATAAAATAATAAATTTGTTATACCCAGATTATAATATTTAGATTTGCTCAAGATGATGACTAAAATTAAAATGTTGATTTACGTTTTAGTAAATCAAAATTTAAATACAGTATTTTGATTTTGATGCTGTAGTTGAATATTTTTCAGAATAATGTGAAGCTTCTAAATTTCTAACAATATGTTTTCTTATAAAATACTCACTCAAATAAAAATAGATTCATATTTTTATAATGGATTGATATATTTGTGTACATTGATATAATCTATGATGTTAGCATGACAGAAAACATATTTCCCCCTTGAAAACTTCATTTGATAAAATATAAATATATATTGATGTTGTCGAAACCGTGTTGTATTTGCTTATTGTGTACACACATACACTTTTATTCATTCCTTATCATATAAAGTCTAAATCTTATTCTATCATATAAATTCAAATAAAATATTTCATATTTTTATTTGAATTTATATGATAAACTCTATCATTATTGCTGATCCAATGAAATATATTGATTATTTAATAGTATGTTCTGTTGAAAAGTTTGATTCCAAGAAGAGTTCTTGTAATACTGTATGAATAAAATCAAAGTTAAAAAACTGTTTTCACTATTAAATAAAAAAAATATTCTGGATTAAAAAATTGTGATTCTATTTGATAGTAATAGATTCTTTATTATTTAATATACTAGGTGATTTCAATTAAAGTATCTCTAGGAAAGTTCAGGACATCAATATTTTTTTTAATTATGTAAAAAACTTAATGTAATGTTTGTATTTGAATGTTCTATTTTGGAAAGGACAGTACATTTTTTGATTTGTGTAATAAACCTGAGGCAGTTCCTAAAAAGTGGCTGAAAACATTTTATTTTATTAAATTGTTGCTGGAAAAACTACAAAAGTTGTGTTGTTATTTACTGTAAGCTTTTTCAGCTTTGGGAGTTATAATTTAAAGTATCTCTATTTAGGGTGCTTTTTAGCTTCAGTGAATGGGCAGAAGGGCACCAACATTTGTACATATATACTATTCAAGGTATGGGGAGAAGGATTATGTGGAAAAAATTTAGTTCCAAAATATGCTGTTGGGGAATATTTTGCTGTACAATATTAAAACACCATGAGAGAAAAGCAGAATTACAGAGCTATATAGCATGTGGAGATACAGTAATGGAATGGATTGTTGGACCTAATGGATATCTCCTGAAAAGGTCTAAGGATGAAATTGATGTGAAACCAAACTAGACAGTGATTTTTAGCAAGTGTAGAGAAATTTGGTGGGTAACATCTTGGATTTCTGAAGCCCATATTTGTTAGTTTTGAATGTTGAGACTGTTTACTGTCCCATTTAGATAAAAATTGGCTTTGTTTCTCTAAGTTGTTCCACAGGAAGGTAACATTCACTTTTATTCTGGCTAAAAACATTAGTGAATTGCATTCTATTTTTAGGACTATCTTGAAACAATTGATGGTGATAACTAATTTTGTAAGAGTAATAGTAGATCACTTTTTTAAAGTAGAATATGGAACATCCAACTGCTATGCTACTCCAGCTGCATCATTCACAGATGGAGGCCACGATAGCAGTAGTAACTTCCTCTGTTATTTGAGGTATGAGAGGCTTCCTTTCCCTTCCAGCCTTAACTTGAAAGGATCCAATCTCCTCAAACATCATCTCAATCATTTGTCTAACTCTGCATGTTAATAAAGGCCCTTGACAAATGTTTTCATCTAAATCATCTAAATTCTTATGTGAATAAGGCAGATGCAGCATTGCATCAATTAACATGAATAACTTGGCAATTTAAGCACATTTTTGGTGAGATGCATGTTTTTACCACTTGTGATACTTGTATTTATACTACTTCACTGCTAGGAAATTATGATTTACATGACATATTTTCCCATCAACATATTTTGAACTAAATTTTTTTACATAATTCTTTTCCCATGCCTTGAATAGTGTGCATATGAATTTTGGTGCCATTCTGCTTATTCATTGAAGCTACAGAGGACTAGAGATACTTTTTATACATCGAGTGGTTATAATTAAAATGTTTTTAATCATTTCTTTAGTAATTTGTATTATAAAGTTTATAATGTGAAAAACAGATAGGTGTTTTTTAATAAAAAATGCAAACATTATTAAAAAATCCAGGCTAACTTTTATGCTGTAATTTAATTTTTATATAACATATCCCAAAATAAACTTGATATTGTTTAATTGTTTGGTTTATAGTTTCTAGATTTGATAAATTATTATTATTATTCAAACACACAACAACATTGTCTATGATCTGTAAAAATAACGAAGACACAAAAATTTCTACTTATCTGTGATTTTTGAAGAAAATAAAACATTGGTCATTAGCATTTAGACTATGCACCCTTTGAATACTATATGAATGAAAGAATAATGTTGAATGTGCTTAGACATAAAATTAGTAAAAATATAATAAAGTAAATATTAGTGTGTCAGATTTTATAGTTTAATTTTTTAAGATTTTTCAGTACTGATATTCAGATTTAAGCATCTTGTATATAACTTAAAAAATTTTTTAGGTTGAATATTTTAAATAGCTTTATAGACAGAAGAAAAACATGCAATAAAAATAATTCAAAATTTTTACTCTTGAAAAGTCTTGAAAAGAATAGTTTACTATGTATTTTTTTTTTCATATTACAGGGGAAAAAATGA